GAGAGATCAGCGAAAGACAGCACAAAAAATAAGGGAGGAAATCAACATGACAAGGTTGAAACCCATATCTCTGACAACCGTGAAATGACGTTTGAGAAAGGCTGGTCTGAAGGGTTGTGTATCTGCAAAAAAACACTACTTCATCCAAAGAACAAGAAAAAGAGATATGAGTGTGCAACAGCTCATAAAAATTTGACTTATGATGACTAGAAACAAGTTTGCACTGTTTGGTTCAAAACGCAGAGTCTGTGTCTGCAGACAAACTGGTGAACGTCTGAAAGCACCATGTGTTACACCCACAATTCAGCATGGAGGTGGTAGTTCCATGGTATGGGGATGTTTTGCAGGTGATGGAGTAGGAGATTAGTTTGAAGTAAAGGGTATCATGAAGAAGGAACAGTACCACTCCATCCTCCAGCACCATGCTGCTCCATCTGGACTAAGACATGTGGCTCATAAGTTTGTTTTGCAGCAAGACAATGACCCTAAGCACTCTACCAAGCTCTGTCAGGGTTACCTAGATAAAAAAGAAGAGGAAAGTGTTCTTCAAAAGATGGTTTGGCCCCCTCAGTCTCCAGACCTTTCTCCAGACCTTGTGCAGGATGAATTGGATCGATCGGTCAGAAAAACGTGTCCCACGACTCAGCAGTCTCTTTTTAATGAAATTAAGAAAGCTTGGAATGCAATCCCTGGAACATACCTTAGAAAACTTGTGGAACGAATGCCTGGTATATGCTAAGCTGTTGTTAAAGCCAGAGGAGATTACTTTAAAGAAAGCAAAGTCTAAGCAACAATAACTCAAATACCTAATAATCACACACACACACACACACACACACACACACACACACACACTATATATATATATATATATATATGTATGTACACACACACACACACACACACACACACACACACACACACACACACACACACACACACACACACACATATAGGTTTAGAAATATATACTAAGACTGAAGGATGGTTCAGAGAGAAGACAGAATTCTTGAAATAGTAAATTAACTTAAACATATCAATGTTTTTCCTTTAGAACTTTCAGTAGCATTTACAACACTGTTTTAATGCATTGAAGGCAACGTTTTAGATAAATCAAAATCAGCCTGGTAATAGACATTCATAGTAAGGAAAATAAATTATGGTAAAAAAGAAGATTTACAGAACATATTTAAAACTTTGGTACAATGAGATATCCCAGAATATCAATCGATTGTTTATTCATAGCACACACTTCTCTAGCAAGAGACTGACATCTCTAGCACTTTAATCATTCTTCTTAGCTGATTTTCACCCTCTGGTGGCAGACAGCAAGATTTCCCCTGCTAGAAAGTAATACTGGTCGGCACCTACTGCTCAGATTTCTTTGCAGGTTGAACAGAGAAACTTTATTCTTATATTGTTGAATCTTTAGCTCACACGGTCTCCCCATTTAAGATGGGGGGTGGTGAACCTATCCCCATCCCAAATTCTGAGAGGCTCAGCTCAGCCGAAATGCCCTTTTTCATACCCAGTCCTGATACCAAACTGTTGCAAATAAACATAATTAGTAGATATTCTTCCGGGTGTCTTTTGGCATAACACAACTTTTTCAGTGTTTTGTTGTCCCTCAGTTGTGGTGGCCAACTTTCAACGTTTAGAATCTTGCATTTGCTCTATTTTCAATCAAATTTAGGGTTTAAATAACTTGCCAATCATTCAAACCACCAAAATCTGTTTTAATACACATTTTACACATGGTCCCAACTCTTGTTTTTCTGTCTCTGTTGAAACACGCTGACAGTGTTGTTTCATAACTTATGCTGCCTCATGACGTTTGGATGCTGGGTACAACTATGTTGGTTTACTATACCATTAAGTGATTAACCTATTTACCTTACAGTGACTCTTCTTAAATTTTTTATCTCTTTTAGAGGAACTTAGACAAGGTTTTCCCAGTGTGAAACAAACCTTTAGATTAAATGTTTTCATGATAAGGAAGTTGTGACTCTGAACTTCGCAGATAAAGCAACTTCTGACTTTGGTGCCATGTCATCATCTTTCACAACAACAACACCAAAGGTTCAGTTCTTTATTTTTAGATTTTTTTTCATGCAGTTCTCGGACATAGCTGTGCTGTGATTAAATATTTGACGTACTTTCACATTTTTTTCGACTGCTGACTGTTGGTAGATATTTCCCCTTTCTGAATGCTGTCCAATATGTGCTTTGACATTTGCAAGATGACTCTCACATGTAATGCCCAAGATTGTACTACTTTGGGCGACTAAGTTTAAATATTTTACAGCAAATACAGCAGAAGTATAAAAGAAGATAAAATATTTCTTTGAAATTTAATGAATTCCAGTGACTCAAAAACTAGGATACTGTCTTTAGAAAAAAAGAAATACTGATATTGTGCTTAAAGTAGGCATAAAACAATACTGAGAGTTTATGCAGTTTTACCATTCTTGTAAAAGTTTTTAGTCATTACATTACCCACAATCTCCTGCAAGCAGTGTGCTTTAAAGCATTGTTTTACACTCCAATAACTAAAGAAACTTAAATGTGAGACATTAAAAAATATGAGATTAAAAGCACAATAAACACTAGTTTTATATGGCAATGTCTTTTTCCATGAAGTTTCAGTCACAGGGCTGGTGATGTGGATAAATCATAAATTTGAACATAATTAGAAAATGATTGTGACGTGATTTAATTTTTGATTTTATTGTGTTGTTTTATCTTTTAGTTACTCTCAAATATCCCAACAGTAACCGTGAGTTGAAAATCTGCTGCACCAACCAATGTACATTACCATAGCCAAATGTGTAATAATATGAAACGTTAAAAACGTCCACAAGACAACAGATCTTTGTGCTTGGAATCACCAGTAAGACTGTGTGTTAACATGTGAGAGCACCCTCGTCTGCTCCCAGAAAGGTGTACCCCCCCCCCCCCCCCCCCCATCACTTTTGGAAATTAGCCTACATTACAAATCTGGCAAGCAAGCCAAAACAAGGGTGTGCCAGCTCAATGAATGATGTGTGCAGCTACACCTGTAGAGAGGCTTCATGTGTCTCCTCCCCACCCCCCTCTGGTTTACATTAAAAAATGGCTGGGCCTGAGAAACAAAGATGGGAAAAAAATACATCCATCTAGGTCAAGACAGACGCCAACATCCTGTTCAGACCTGTGGATATGTCTCTACCCTGTTTTTGAGGAAGACTACTGTGTTTGTGTTGTCAAATCCCACCATGAAGTGCTTCCATGGAGTCCTGAACAAAAACAAAATCCTGATGAATAAATTACAGTTGAGCACGCACCTCCTCACTCTTTCCTTAGAATCCATTCTTATACTATGAGATAATCCTATGATGATCCCTTGAGGACATATGGAAGTTTCAGCAAAAAGAGAAACAATGAAGTTGAAGAACACGATAGAGGCATCTAAAAACAGATCATTTTTATGGGTAGGGGAGACTAGAGTAAGTTGAGCCAAAGGGTAAGTTGAGCCACCCCCTGTTGCTTGGAAATGGTAAAAGAAATTGATCATGTGACCAAATACTCAGGAGATGGGCATCAATTCATGGAGTCTGTGAAGGTTAGAAGCACAAGGGTGAAGGGGTTAGACATTTATCCCCCCACCCCCCCAAAAAAAAAAGAAAAAAAAATTTCACTCTTGAAAGTGAATTTAGTCTGTCATAAGTTTGATTAGAATTGTGTTCAGACCAAAAAAGATCATTTTAAATTTGTTTTTATCATCAATTGTGGTATCTATGAGCTACAAAATGAGGTCAAAAGCCTAGCATAAAAGTCCACCATTTCAGCTTAGAGGACTATAAAAGCCATAGTAGTAGTTCTGGGGTAAGTTGAGCCAGTGACTCAACTGAGAAAGTAAAGGAGTCTGATGAGAGGATCAGAGTTTCAGTTCAGATTGTTGAAATGTGTTACTTTTTCTTTTCAAAAATACAGCTGTGAATGTTCTGAATCACTAAAAGGCATTCTCATGTTAAAATGTTCATCTTACCCCACTCCTATGCTCAACTTACCCCATACACAGGGGAAGTAAGGAGACCACTTTTTTTTTTCGCATACTATATTATCAAGACAGTTATGTTTATACTCATTCTGTTGGTTTGCAGGGATTCAAAACATCTTGAAATATATGCAGATACACTAGTTAGAGACAAAACTATAACCGCCTTGATGTAGTGATCCGAAATATGAAAAATGGCTCATCTTACCCCACTCTTCCCTATACTGTTTATGGCTACAATTAAGACGAAATTTGCAGAATGATACTGATGGTCTCATGTAAGAGCCCTTTGCGGCTAAAAAAAGGAACCAAACGAATCTAAATTCAATAATATTCAATAATCTTCTACTTTAAACATGAACAAGTTGATTTTGATCTGTGCAAGCTAAACTGAAGACCGTTTTTACTAAATGAGCCACAGCTTCGACTGTTTATAGAGGGCTGTCGTTTCCCCAGGATTTGGTTATAAAGGTTCGTAGCTATACTATATACATTCTATGTACCACAGGAACATCATGTTGCGCAAGCCCTATGAATGAACGTACACATCACCGTCTAATGCTTTTACAGTATTACCCTTCTTGCTTTATAGAGCCCTCTGGTGGACAGACATCGACAAGTGAAAGTCTAAGAGTGACTTTAAAATCAAAGTGGATTTACTTCCCCCTATGAATTTTTTTTGTAAAACACATTCTGGTTAAAGCATTTTTATAAACATATTTTTTAAACTCTCTGTGTACAACTTGAGCTTTTGTTAAATGCAAAACTATTATGCATAAAAGTTTAACAATCATATTGGACTAAATCTTCTTTAAGATCACTCATAGAGTTAAATTTTATGCTTAAATTGTCTGAGATTCACGAGAGAAAACTAAGAGGAGCTGAGCCAAACAGCAGTACATTTTACATTTTAGAGAAAAAGAAACAGGAATCACACTTTTCTTTTGTCAAGTCCGGAGTTTTCACTTCCGTTTCCAATTTCGACCGGGAAAGCGCTCCCCCGCCCCGCTCCCTCCATACATATGCAGATGAACGGCTGGTATGTGTTTTTATGCGCGCGGATATTTAACACTTTACTGACGCCACATATCTATGCCCCCCTCAGCACGTAGCGCGAAGACGGTAATCACTCTTGATCGCCTGTCAGTTAGAGGGATTTCTCCTTAACAGGATACCGGTGACAGACCTGGAAGGTAAGAAATTCGACTTATTTTAACCAGCTGCACGCATATGTCTCACATGTCTCTTATCGCGTAAACTGAGCGATATTAATTATGCTGATATTAACAGGAAGTTTGTGCTTATTTTACTTTGTGCCTATTCGCTGTTGCCTTTATTAGTAGCCTAAGTGAGCGTGAGTGGTCAACGTGCCAAGACACCGCCCTGTCTTTGAAGGTACCCTTAACAAAAAGAAATATCTTTACGTTCATTTTATTAAATATGCTTGAGTATAAGTTTATCAAGTATACTGCCGACCATGGACTCTTAGTAAACTACAAAGTATACTAATTTAACACATCTTCGGACGAAATTGTAACATTGATAAATGTGGTGAGGACTACAACATCTATCATAGCAAGAAGTTGTGATGGATGTTTTATTTCTTCTTAAGACAATTCAGTGAGACGATGAATAACATGAAGAAATAAAGGTCAAGAACAGGGTTAGTTCTGTAATTTTTTTTCACAAGCAGTAAACCTTACTCAACTTAAGTGAGTACGGTAAAAAATAGTGCATAAAAATACAGCCGTGCACACCACACACAAACATACATTAATGCTCAAGGAATTGCAATTTAAGTTATGTTAAATATTATCTCAGGGGATGAAAGGGAGCAAACATATATTTAAAGCTTATCTTATTGTTTAAATTTACTGGACTTTTTCCTACTTAGTAATATTATGTTAAGTGTGCCAGAGTGTAGGATGTGTTCATGTTTAACTGGCACACAAAGACACACACCCACCCTCACTCACTCACCCACACATACACACACAACCGCACACAGAGTGAGAGTCTTAGATATAGTGTTAGAGTAATATCCACAAAGGTGTTTTTCCTCAAGTTGCCCTGCTCTTGATTTTTCCTTCTGTGGGAAGCTTAAAGTTTTCTCCTGTATTAACCTCGCCAGGATAGCATGGCTCAAGCATGTGGGTGTCTGGGTTCACTGACACTGTGCAGTGTGATGATGACGATGATGATGATATTCTGGAAAAAACAGAATAACAGTGTTACCATCCGGATGCAAATTCAAATCCCTCTCGCCAACCGTTACACCAACGTGATCTCAGGAACAACATGTTTAAACCATTACAGCGTCACTTCCTTTGTTTTAACAAACAGGCGCAGCTAAAACTTGTCCAAAAGATAGTTCATTTTTATCATTGAATTCTAAAAGCCAAACTTGTGTGTATTTTGAAGATTCATCATAAACAAAGTGAAGCATTTCTAGACTTTTTTTTTGTTTGGGCCTTTTATGATTTAAGCTTACAGCTCACAAAAATCAATGTTAACTCTTGTTGTTTTTATTTCTGTCCAGGACTTCCTGATGGCTACCAACAGCTTCACCCCTGCACATTTTTGTTCTGTAGTTAAGAATACGTTCTACTTCAACGGTAAAATTATTTCACACAGCTTTTATAAAACTTTATTTACTACACAAGGACTTATAGCTATTTTCCTATAATGTTTTTGTATGAAGACTAATGTCACTTCCTCTCCTCTGCTCCTTGTTGACAGTGGGTGAAACAGGTAAATCATTAATTGCTTATTACTCGTCATACTGCTTTTGAAAACACTTTACAGCCCTGACTGTCTATTACAAAATGTTATTGCCCCAGTTTCACGTGTTCCTCATTCATCTTTCTATCTACAGAAGAGTATGAGTATGAGAATTATAAGTGTGTGACAGTATTGGGCTCACAGGTTTTTTTTTCTGCTCTTTAGAGACTGATCTGGCTTCAGATTCCTTTATGATGGCTAATAATTTCCGTCAATGTTGGATCCAATGCAAGAGCAACAAATTCCTGCTTTTAAATGATGACAGACAGTTCCAAGAAGAAGTCCTCTCAATTGACCAGCTGCAAACTCAGCCTGGTAAGATTTTAAGTCATTCAGCATTGTGATGTAATTACTAGAACATACAAGTACATTTCATCTTTAATATGGGGATAGATTTGTCATTACCTGTGTGCATGTGAGCATGCCAGTTCGTAAAATCTCCCCGAATTTTTGGACTTCATCATTTCAAGTCATTCCGTTTTAGTCACTGAAACCGGAAAACATGTGAAACAAAAGGTTGATTTATGTATGAGAGCTCACAACACTAAGACTCTACATGCACAACATAAACGTATAAAAGTTTTAATGATAAAGCCTAACAAACATTTTTATGTGTTCACAAAGCGTGCATGATGTTGTTCACGCATGTGAGCAAATAATAATTCAAAAAGTTAATTATCGGTAGAGACCTGTGAAAAAGGCGATGCATTGACGATGTCCACACAATCATAGCCTAAACATGTTGACTGTACAGAAGTATTTCCGAGTGTTGGAAACAGAGGGTTGCATTACTAAACATCATTTATCATCTACGATAATCATATCATGGAATCAAATACTATTTGGTTTTAAGAGAAAGAGACTGTCACAGTAAGAGTAACTGATAAATTCTGATACACATGGAACTGCGTTTTTTTTTACAATATATCAAGTACGGGCTGATATGAGTCTGAAAACATGATGTCGCTCAGATGAGCCCTCAGTACTTTAAAAAAAAGACAGAAAGCTTAAATACTAGAATCAATGAGTAAGTGAATACATCACAAATAAATAAGAAATCAAACAAAATAGGTGGCATAAAGACAAAGGTGATAACTAAAAATGAAGTAAACTGCAACTAAATTATATAGCAAATTAGGACCAAAATTTATAAACTTGAAGGAAGATTTGTGATTACAGGCTTCATCTGGTGCTGGCACTGTAAAATAATGACACAGCAGACTTCTGGTTTCTGTCCAACCATCTGTAAATGTTGAAATATCAAAAAATACAAAGTAAAAAGTCATGTATGATTCCTTCATCTTATTTATAAGGTGGTCCAGGGCAATAACATGTTTTGGTTACATTTTAATATTCATTTATAAAATGGAAAACAATATTGGTCGTGCTTTCGATTTCAAAACATGACTGATACTAATGTCAGAAACAAACATTCATCACAAAACCCTTTGCAGTAAAGCAGAATTTACACAAAATTTTTTCCAGCAACTGTTTTCAGATTCAATTGTTGTCATTTCAAGAAGAGATTGTTGAATCTGAATCATTAGTAGAGCTTTGGGGAACCGCCCTGAGACAGTTGGTAAATGCAACAACATGTGTTGGGGAAAAACCAACATCATGACACATTTGCATGTTACAGAGATGGGCTATGAAATACCCGGTCCTCAATGTGGGAATGAAGTACTCAAATGAGCACAGATGATGTAAGAGGGGTGGTTAGCTCGCCCTATCAGCATCAACTCAACCATTAAGGGATATTCCGGCGTAAAATTAATCTAGGGTCAAACACACCGTAACACAGAGTTGGACATCCCCATGAGAGATGAATGTTGCCGACCGCTAGCTTCTCTAGCTATACCAACTACAGTAACGACCGCAGGATAGCAATACACAGCGGTCTGAGGAGCCATAAACAAACCTCAACCAAAACACCACTCTACGGCCACAAATAATGCTCAGAACAGCACCTAACTTCATCAACAGTACATATAGGGTCCCAGCCATAGTACAAGCCACAAAACATCATTTTAACTTTGCCTAATTTCTTTAGCAAAGAGACTAAACACAACTCACCAGTCCATTACGGACTGCTGTGGGGTGACACAACTCAAGGAAGAACATTTATGATCATTTCTTCATGGAAATGCAATCAGACCAAGCGCTAAGGCAGAAGAACTACCGCGTCTGCAGTGCAAAATAATTACTATGGTGATTATTACTTCAAGGAAATGATAAAGAAATGATCATAAATGTTCTTCCTTGAGCTGTGTCCCCCCACAGCAGTCCATAATGGACTGTCCTGAGGTCTCGCTACAAACAAGTGGCTGCTGGAAGAGAGTAGGTGAGTTGTGTTTAGTCTCTTTGCTAAAAAAATCAGGCAAAGTTCAAATGATGTTTGGTGGCTAGTGCTATAGCTTCGACCCTATATGTATGTTGATGAAGTTAGGTGCTGTTCTGAGCATTATTTGTGGCTATAGAGTGGCGTTTTGGTTTGAGGTTTGTTTATGGCTCCTCAGACCGCTGTGTATTGCTATCGTGCAGTTGTTACTTAAGTTGGTATAACTAGAGAAGTAAGCAGTCGGCAACATTCATCTCCAGAGGGGATGTCTAACTCGGTGTTACGGTGTGTTTGACCCCAGATTAATTTTACGCTGGAATATCTCTTTAAGTTTGATGTGTAAAAAAATCATCCTTGTGTTTTATCAAAGATAGGACTAAGTCAGATTCTTTCCTTCAGAGTGAAGCAATGATGCTGTAGTGCCGCCTGCTGCCCAAATTGTGCCAAGTTAGTCATGGTCTCGCAGGCATCTTTTCTCCACCAAATTTGGTTGATGCAACACTTTTTAAATCAACAGAGTGATAAGAAATGATACCAACTTTTCTGCAACACCACTGTTAGTGGGTTCAGTGTAGACAAATACAAATATTAAGGAAGTTTAGGTGTCAGAGTCTTGACAGATGCAGAGAGGTTTAAAAGAGGTAAGCATGAAAGGAAGGATTGTGACGCTCCACCCTAAGGCAGTCCCAAGGGGCTAACTACTCCCACGATGACCTATTAAAAGCAACAGAAAAAAACCTTAAAACTTGGCCATGGGATTTATTACAACAAACGCACAAAGAATGAATACTTTTAAAGAAGTCGGGGTGTGAGTTGGATTGATACATCTTGTTGGAAAAGATCAGAGTACATGTTTGTAAGTTACCTCTGTCAATCTGCCACAGGCGGCATTTAACTCCAACTTTCCTTTTAGAGTGCAAATTTCACATCCAGTATTACAACGACTCCAGCCTGATACGAAAACAGGGGAGGGCCGTCATGCTGTATGTCCTCAAAGATGGAGAGAAGATGATGGCCTGCTGCAGCGAGAAGCATGATGTGTATTCTGAGGCTCTGGTGAGTAAGAAGAAATGCCTTACAGCTGCTGAGACTTGTGACGTCTCTAAGTGCTCCTGCTAGACCTTTTCTGCTTAACCTGTCAACTGTCAAGCAATGAGACACAGGCAATAATAGCTCATTCATTTTCAACAGGACCTACCAAAAGAAATAAAAGAAAATACACATAAAGCCGTGTTCTACATGAAGAGGCTGCCATCAACTAGTGACAAGCACATATTTGAGTCGACTCTGTTTCCATCCTGGTTCTTGGCATTGGAGTCTGATGGAAATGACTCTTCTCTGCACAAACTGGTCCTTAGTCATGATGGGATGGATGAGAGTTGTGAGTTTTCCTTTTCCCAATAATGATTTCATAATACCGTCTTTCATTATTTTAGAGCAGTTTCCTACCAGAGGACTCTTGAAAGCGTCATCACTGTACTCTACATGCAAAAAATCCCTACTTAGTACATGTCAGAAGCTGAATAAGAGGCTTCTGACATGTAGAAGTTATAGGTCTGTATTTGCAGAAAAATGACTAAAAATTAAATGTTCCTGACCTGCATGCAAAATGTACTTTTATTAGCAACATTTCTCACATGAACTTTAATCAGGCGACAGTTTGTAAGAAAGGAGACACAGAAAGGAGACACAAAGTGGTCATGAAAAAATATACATACAGTAAATATGAAACTGACACTAGACATGATTTAAGTAATTTACCCTGCTTTGTGAAGTGTTTGCAGTCACAGATAGCAGACTTCAGTCACATTGCAAAAGATTCGATCCAAAGTGGCTCAATTAATTCTGATTAAAGAAGATTGGATTCAATTCGACTTGTGCTGTTTACACTGCCATAAAAAGATCAGATATGATCACAGGTTGGGTCTTTTTTGACTGTACCCTAATTAGATATGTTAATTTGACTGGCTTAGTTCAAGGGAAACTTCTTATAAGAAACTTCCATGCTGTCATGCTCTGTTGTACAAGTGTTGTTTTCTACATGAATCATGTTATCCTGCTTCAACACCCTCACTCTCTCATAATGAAGATGGAAAAAAAAAGCTGGTTCTGGCAGTTAATTCGTGTCAGAGTTTTCTGACAGTCAGAACAAACAAATGGAAGTCGTCAGCCTTTATGTAGACAGCTTCGAAGATTACAAAGAGACACCAGTATCATTTCAGTCTGTTTCAGAGCAAGCTAAACTCTCCTCTTAGGTGATTATAAACTCAATTCCACCAGGTCTGTTCTGATCAATACCACTGAATACTCATTACTGAACCTCTCCGTTTCTTTGTGTCTGGCTAACCTAAAAGTTCTCAGTACATACAAGATTGTTCATTGTCACTTAATGAAGCATATTCATTATGATAATGTAAGATGTTGATTATTGAGATAATGATTAAATGAAGAGATCTTTTATGTATGTACACCAGATTTTAAAACTCATTTTAAAATATATAATCATTTCCGTGTATGTATTAAGCTATACATTTCTTTGGGTGTCTTTTTTTTATATATATATTGTTTAAAATCATTATTCAGACTTTCCGTTTTTTTTATAGTCGTGTTACAATTTTATCAAAGTACTTTGAAAACCTTCTTTTTTTTAACCATGTATCTTTTGTACTTTTCTGTATTATGTTTGGCAATAAAATTCAAAAAGTGAAAAAAATCAGTAAAGCCAACTTTATTCTACCGAGGCAGGAACAGAACATCTTTCCAGATCTCATTTTGTGCGTATAATCTGAGGAGACACAATTGAACAGATATTACAGTGATAACTGATGCAGAGGAAAGCAAACGACAAAATGACAACAGGTAGAATTTTAAATCAACCTGCAACACTCATACTTGCCCTCATCATTAGCTGCATGCAAGGATTGTGTGAAGTAGCTATGCCAGATGAATATTCCACTAAAGCATGGCAGCATCAGAAGCCATATATTCGTCTTTTAAGCACAAAGACTGCACATTAAGTTTGTGTTTATCAATGAAACTTTTGTAAACTTGAGAAAAACTTACAGAAATTTCTAAGTTTCAAACCAAATGTGCATTTTTGTTTAAATAAGCAGTTTGCACTCTCACAGTGGAAGCAGTTTGTAGGTCAAATATGATGTACAGCATGACCCAGTTTGTCACACACCTTTATTTCACTGTTGTGAGTGTGGTTATCGAGCACAGGGTGGTATTTTGCCGCAGACCCTGCTCTAGTATACACAGTTTCCTGTTAGACTCCTATAGCTGGTGTGTGTACACGATGACTCACATATGATTCACTATGACTTAGTCTACAGCAGAGCAGGCAGATTTCTATATGGATTTCGAAGGTGAAAAGAAAGGATCATTGCATGTCCCACTCTAATAAATATGTACTGTTTTACACTGGACTGAAAAATGACCCTAAAAAAGAATAACACTCAACTGAAGACTGTCTTGTTTTATCCAAGAGTGCAAGGGTTTCTCCTGAGTTTTAAACCAGCTTTATTCAAACATTACTGATGCATTACTCGCTTTAATTTCCAACAATCGGTTCTTCTTTGCTCTTAAACTGAAGCTTTTGGAGGCAGCTGTAGTTTTTCGAATCGACTTTGTAAACTACTGGTGTAATCTCAAGTACTGTACTCACCAACAGCCAATAACAAATTTGCGGAAATATTCCTCACAATATTTGAGCTGCCAGATAGAGCTGAAATTCATTTGGCGACCCTCAAGAATAAAAACAAACACAAATATTTAGATATCGACACAAGTCAAGATCACATTTCCTGTTTTTAATTATCCTCTGGAAGCATTTTTCAGTCAAATGTGACACAACACAGATAAGACAGTGGTCAAAGTGGGAGTCTATTACACGAGAATGTTGGCACTAATAACATTGATTTGTGCAATGACCCTTTTTAAATGAACTGCTGATTAAACAGGTCAGTCCATGCACATGTTCCACTCTGAACACCTGCCGCTCTGCACAAACCCCAAACCACAACTGACGTCCAACTTTTATAACACTTCAGTCAGTGTTTGCACCCGTCAGTCTTTAAGTAGAAACCTTCATGTTATGGGTAACGACAACAAACCGAAGTGACCTCCGAAGTGCCTTATTTTCTATGTGGGTTAGTGTGTTCAAATAAAAAACTGCTCTACTCTGCGGTGCGGTGCCGTCCCGTTCTTCCTCATGGGTTTAAGAGCAAAAGATAGTATGTACATGTTGTGAATCAAAACATTAAACAAATCTGCGACAAGAAAACAATAAATTAGCTGTCAGGTGACTTCTTTCAAAGAAGCTGAAGCTGTTTTGTCGAAAACATGGATTTCCCCTGCAAATATGTTTATCTGTTTGTAGAATTGGTCAGAAATGTCTAAATGAATGGACGAGCTAAGGAACAGAATTAAAGAGGAAACAAAGCTTGAACTGAGTGGAGTCTGAACCCACACAGAAGCTGATCTCCTCTGTGATTGTAGAAAAATGGACGCTTGTTTCTGAACATGTCTTAACTAGACTGAGAAGGAATTTACCACATAGACATGCCTAAATTGGTTGACATTAATTACACTCTTGTGAATCGCTTGTAATATTGTCAAAATGATATATTTATAAGAATTTACATAGAACACCTTGAATTTTTACAATCAGCCAGGACCAGACCACTTCTGTCCCAGTTGTCTAGGTCCTCCCAACTTTTCCCAGTCCACAGTTAAGTTTATTTGCTCCACAGCAGGGCAATGGCTTTGCAGATGCCCACGTCGTTGTAGTTGAAGTAGCAAAGACCGGCGAAGGTGATGGTGGAGACGAGGAAGAGGCTCCTGTTTGCCATCTTGATCTTTTTGTCCCCGTGGACGTAATCTGTTAGCACTTGCCCGATACCCCTGAGAGACAAGAAAAACAAGGAATCAAATCAAAGCATCTGAAGCAACCGTATCAAATCAGTACAAGTAGCAGAACACCATCACTTTGGAAGGTGTTTATGATGAGCTTTGTTCAATGCTTCAACATGGTGAAACATCATTGATCAAATAATTTTGTGAAACTTTACAGTCATCTGTAAGACTTTTAGGTGCCTGTACATAAGAGCCTATGATGCATAATCAGCGTACTATGCAGGATTTGGGTTTCTATTCGCTTTACTGGCGCCATGTTCATCAAGTGTGCATTCAGCTCCAACATTCCCAAGAAAAATAAAATCCCATTAAGTAGACTTCATTTATCCAAAGTACCAGCTGAGGGGAGGAAGCTGTCCAAACGACTCATGCTCCAACTGTAGGCTGTGCCGACGCCAAACCACACTGGAGAATTCACCTAAGTGGTTTTGGCCGGACGGGACACGGCTTGACCCTTTGAGATTCATACCTGCTCTGAGAGCTGTTGCTTAACCAGACTTATCTCTACCCATGACTGGGATTTGTGGCCTACACCTGCCATGATGTTCAGTCTACGCTCTGACTGATGGGAGGACACGCCGCCGTGACGCTAAGCTAAAGCCACCCTCTGAAGTCTGCAAACAGAGCCAGAACTGACCGGGCCTGATTGAATATCTGCTGACAGCGATGGCGAGATGACTTAGATTACCCCCCCCCCCCCCCCTCACACACACACACACTGAACCACCATGTCTCAAAGTTTGCCTTTTGTCTCATCAGGGTCAGTGAACAAACTAAATCTTTGTGCTGGGGGAGAGGAGCCTGGCTGGGACGCATGCTTCACTGTCATTTATCTGATCTCAGGTCCTATCAGCTCTCATATTCAGACAATATATACCTCTGGGAACGATGACCTCCCTGTGTGTGATAAACTACTGCCAGCCAAGGTTACTTTTTACGTGCTCTGTTCTGTTTATAGCCCAGTCAGCAACCTGAGAAGGGACTGTGTGTGTTTAGATCGAAAACAAATCCACCCATACATACATGTCTGCAAAATAAATGCCGTCACCTTTTGATTCATGGAAAACCCCCACAGACGCCCCTGTGCAGTCATTTCTGGTGGGCCTTGGTCTCCCAGAATTACACAGAGGTTTCACTCTGTGTTTTCAAAATAAAGAATTCAAATTTGTCAGGTCTGTACCCTAGTGGAGATGAAATAACTTACAATATGAGTTTGATGAATGGAGGTCAAACTGATCATTTCTGATGCATTCCATGAAGTTAGGAAATCTTAAAGGGGACCTGCCACCAAAATTTCATACCCATTTTTATCATTTTTTCATAATCCTTGATGTCCTCTGATCATGTTTGCAACATAATTTTATCTGAAAAGTTATTTGATGGTTTGTTTTAGTATGCCTAAAAAACCTTACAGGAAAACCAACTGGTTTTAGCTCATTAACATTTATGGTAATGAGCTTTGCTCTGATTGGATCGCTGCTGTGAAGCCTGCTGTGCTCTGATTGGCTCAGCAGTGGAGGTTCGGATTTCGGTTTATCCATTGTTATTATGCTAATGCTAATAGCATACGCTAATGTGTGCTAAAGTAAGGTGCCCAGAATGTCTGTAATAATATCCGGGGATATTCGGTGCGGCGGTGCAGGGGCTGTGTGATCACAGACAAAGTCTCGGTACTATTTAGTAGCAGCGCATGCCCCTTGTAATAACCCCCGTAAGACCTGTTGTTCAGGACTGCTAACTTGTGCTTCCTACCTATTCGGCTACTGTAATAACCGTTGTTCGAGCCCACACGCAACATTTTTGCTCTCATTCATGAAACGCTTAAATCGGGGACATTTTCGGCGACAGCTTTTGGCGGGGACAGGTCATCCAATACGGGGACTGTCCCCGGAAATCGGGGACGTCTGGTCACCTTATGCTAAATGCTAAAAACGGCAGGTATTAAACCATATATTTTAGACCCCGAGTCCGAAGAGGAGGTGGAAGTTGAGGAAGAAGCCGGAGATCTCCAGCGGTGTTTTCTCATTCATTCTGCCCAGCTTTAAATTCATTTTCCCGGCAGTGAACCGAAGGAAACACCGGTCGTTTGGAAGAGACCCATAGCGTATACAGTGGTAGCTGGGTCTCGCTCTGGCTGTGACTGAGTACGGGAACGAGAGAGTGGGCGCGGCTCACCGAGGACGCGGTCGTGAATTATAATGAGCAACGTCAACGCAACGTAACATGGACCTGCTTTTTCAATTGGCCCAGTTTACTCGTTGCTTTATTTTAAACCTTTACAGAATGCAAACGACATAACGGTTTGTTTTCACATTTACAACATAAGACTAACATAATATGGACCTTATCTGACACAAAAAAACCCAAAAATTACATTTTTATGGCAGGTCCCCTTTAACAGTGATTCGTTAAAATCCAGATACCTCCACAGTTCGTACAAATGACACACTTTTAAACTAGTAGTCTGCTAGTGGTGGGCAATATGCCCTCCACTCCATTTCAAAAAAATTTTGAAATCAGATTTTTCTCATTATCGATCACATTTTTAAGTACTTCAAAACATTTTAATAAGGGAAAGTTCCTCATCCTCCCAGACTTGTTCATGATTACGACCACATACACGTAAAGAGTGCCTGAGATAATGCTGAAAGTCTTCCTACACAAGTCTGCTGGAGTCTGACTATGCAAGTGAGAAGAAGTGAGTGACTGAAGGTACTTTTGGACCAAAGGTACAGAGTTTTTAGTGTCAGGGACTTCTCTCGAAGAAACTAAATGGATCCTGTGGCCTATGGTTATCTGTGTTTCCACTGGGACACTGGGACAAATTAAGTAAATCAGACTAATGACAACCAGGGAAAAATCTCTGCTAATGTTTTTTTAAAGCTGTTGCAAACCTCGAAGGCAGAAGCTATACTGTATTTGATTATTAAACAGCATCAGGTTACTGGAGATACTGGCACTTGAGTATAAGTTGTACACCAGTTTATAATATAAACAAGACTGTTTCCTACTAAGACCAACCCCTGAAACTGTCAAAAGCCTAACAGCATCCACTGGGATGAAAAAAAGGTACGTGAACAGAGTCAGAGTCTATGTTAAAGCACTGTTTGATTCATCTACGGAAGAGGATTAGGGCCACTGGAAAAAAAAAAAAAAGGCCCAATATAATTTTTTTAAATGATTATTCTGAGAAAAAAGTCAGAGTTCTGACGATTTTTCTCTGAATAATATATATATATATATTTTCAGTGGCCCTAATCCTCTTTCCTATTGATCAGATAACATGAGGTTGTGTAGGATATAATTTAGAATCCCTCGTCCTTCCTCCTTGTGTGTGTGTGTGCGCACACAAGTGTGTGTATGTGTAGATTAACAACCTGTGTTTGTTATGCAAAATGGCATCGTCAGGCCCCGCCTCCTTAAGTCCCTGGGCTATTGGAAAGTACTACCTCCGAAACAGGGACTTTTTAAAGGGTCGATCTTTTACCCCAGAACTAAATTTAGACCCTGATTCCTGAGGTCGAAAGATACAAAGTTCGTTATAAGGTCCCTTGTTCCCGGGGTAAAACACCTTGTGGTGATGACAACCAGACGCTGATCTATCTATCTCTGCCTCTGCTCTGCTGACCCTGTAATGGAATTAGTCAGCTGCTTGTTTTTGTTTCAATTTAGGTTTGTGAAAGCTACTCAAAACAGACTCGTGCATTTCCCAACGAGAGTCACATCAACTCCACTACAGCCTTGATAGATCAGAAAGTTTACCCTTTTGAAGACATTTGTGTGATACTGTGTCACAACGTTTGTTTGTCTTTTTGAAATATGGCCAAACACTCTTTTTAGAGGCCACAGTAACCTATCTCAAATGTTTGTGTTTTTTTTTTTTGGTTTGTTTTTTAAGATACTGACAAAACAGATCAAAAATGTACCCTGATATAAAGGAGTCCAAAGAAAGTAGGGATAATCAAAGGTCGATGGTTTCTAACTGGGAAACAGGTACGCATGAGAGACCTTTATTTTGGTGTTGATAAAACTTTCATATCAAGAAGTGATTTGAAGAGGGTTTGGATTAACGTTTGCCAGTCTTACCAGTGTCCGTGCAGGGTCAGGGCGGCAGCCAATGAGTAATCTATGACAGGAGAGGGATTAAAATACGCCACTGGTCCCATGGCCAGCAGCAAGATGCTCAGTACTCGCTCTGCTGTCCAGTGCAGAGATGCCGCTTTGGAGCCAGAACCCGCTGTGGAGCCAGAGAGACAGCAGATTAACAGAAGAAGGAATTAACTGCTTGCTGATGGAAAAAATAAAAACAAATAGAGAAATATTTTTCTTAATCTGGCCAGGTGACATCTGTATAAAATGTCTAGAGTGATACACTTCTTTACTTCCTCGGGGTAGCCAACATGAAAAATCTAATGAATCATATAGAAGATCCTTCACCTTTAAATACTCAGGTCACGAGGAGCTACAGAGCTGACATATTTTCAACAAACATTTAGGACACCCTTTATTAAGCGTTTATTAAGCATCTCAACAACTGAACACCATTTTGATTAATTTTGAGGAAACGTGGAACCCCCAGACGTAAAGAACTACTCTGAGGCTGCTAATACTCCATGGCCCTGGTCTCTGTGATGAGGATTCATGCCATACAGTTGTCCTATCAATATTGTTGGAAAAATCTTTGAAAGACAGAAAGAACTGAAGGAAAAGGGAACCAAAACTACAAAAACTGCTTGGTTATTTTCATTGTTCAGAACTTAATTCCTGCAGCTTCATACGAGACGTGAAAGTACACAACGTGGTTTTACATCTGACAGTGTAAGTGTAAACACAACCTCCTCCTTTTTTCTAGTTTTACCAAACAATTTAGACATTTTGGTTCTTTTTTCTTGAGAGGGTGGCTGCGTGCGTAAAAATGAAAACTGCAACTCTTAAAAAAAACTCTGAGGCACACTGAAGTTATGCTATGACTCCAATGAGGTCAAAGGAGGCCACGAAGACAGTGTGCCTCTAGACTTTTCGAAGGACAATTTCTTCAAGTGTTTTTTTGCAGCACATGACTCTAAAATTTTACACTCATTTCAAATGATACTTGAATTTTCCTGAAATGTTTGTTTTTTTTAGGTGTTTTTGTTTTCTTAAAAAAAATAAAATAAAAAAATGCAAACTTGGGTATTAGCTTAAATGCATTACTAAAATGATAGTCCTTCTGTCTCATGGCGCAGTTTGTGTCAGATTTGGTAACCCCTCTACACAAATTGATGCCTCTTATCTTTTCTTTTTATATCACATAAAGAGGCTTGATGGTCTGTTTCATAAACAGCTAAAAAAATAAACTCATAACAACAATTTTAAATAAGTACCCGTCTAACCTAAATACACTTTTGATATTTTGCTTATAGTTGGCACTAGAAAAAAAAAGGCTCTACCTCTGCCTCACAAAGTATATGACCCACTAACCTGAAAATGAGGGGGGCAAACAGGCTCGTTTTGGACCGGCCTTGTATGATCTGGTGTCAAAATACTGACACCACTATTAGCAGTTGTGGTGCTAAATCTGGACCACAAACCACCAGTCATAAATCATCCATGCAAAAGCGGTCTGCTGACATGTAGGGCTGAATAAACAGGGCGTACGTAAACATGTCACTCTGCAAAAGGACAACACAGCTGTTATTATGATTGCTAGAAGGTAATCAAAAAATCTTTGACGAGGTAATTAAAACACAGTTTCTGTTCAGTGGTGTTAAATCCGCATGCTCTCTGCACCCAGTGTCCCCAGTATGCTGGACTTTTACCTTTTCTTCTTATCAGATGCATACATGTTACGTTGTGGAAAGATACTCTAAATGAGTCAGACACCAGCTACAATGATTCCTCTGACAGGTGTTGTAGTATTAACCAGTTCAAGAGTACAGAGGGTGTCAAGAGTGCAGTCAGAGCAGTTGAACCGGCATGCGGTCGGACTCGTTTCAGTTCTTCTGTAAACTCATTTCAGCTGTTTGTTATTTCCATGACAACACTGACCGTAAAGAGCCTGTGATGAATGAATCCTCGCTGTCAGCTGGTAGGGCTGCTCCTGGTTTTTGTATGGAACAACTAGCGGTCTGGCCAGTAGAGTGCTTTGGTAAAACAGAGCTGAAAAAAACAAACAAACAAACAAAACAGAAGAAAAGAGTGTTTACCAAAAGGGCTGGGTATATACAACTTGACCACGGCTTACATCGAAGGAGCTGTTATAAACTCATCTACAGTTGCAGTGATTTGTTGATCTTAAGATGATTAAATGCAAATATTTTTATTGAAGAAGAATCTTTCAGCTGTCTCTCATAGGAAAAAAACATCGGACATTTAATAGTTCAGACTTCCTTCAAGCTGAGATAACTTGCCTTTTTACATTTCATGAATAAAAATTGTGACTAGAGCTGATGGTTTGACATTTAACACAATATGGAGACATAAGGTTTAAACTTTAGTGATAACCATTTTTCAACTCTCTGCCATATTCATTTAATGTTAAAGCTCCTGGACAGAACTTTAGGTTTAAATGCTAATTTAGGCAGACCCTTTGAACAAAGACTGACATCGTCCCTCTACGCTGATTGAGGGGTTTAGCTCTATAGTGTGCTGTCAATCATCTGGTATCACACCTGACTCCTTACGTACATGGCCAGCTTACAAACTGTGCTGTAAGAATTTATGATGTGTTGTGGATGCTGATAGTCTGACTTGCTTTAAATTTCAACCTGTTTCATAGCCAGTTAAAAACTCATTACAGGTGCTTTAAAATGAGGGAGTGATTAAATAATAAAGAAGGTAAAAGTTGGTTGCAAACTATAATATTGATTAAAAAATGAGAATAGTAGCATACCTTAACACAATACACAACTTAACAATGTAGCAACATTTTTTTTAATAGCAGTATTATTACAAACTACTAAAATAGTGGTGGACTGATATAGGTTTTTCAATGACCAATATCAATGCTGATATTTACAGGGCAGATCAGCTGATTGGCCTGTATAGTGCCAATTATTACTTGCATTTTATATATTGTTACAATTTACTAACCCCATTCCACGCCCATTTGAGTTTAATGACCATGTTATCTCAAACAAGTGTCAGACAGATTTTGAAATATGACCTTAAATGACATTGAAAATCACAATGATAAGGAAGGGGGAAAGTATCCCCTTGTACTGCAGATCATAAAAATCATAACTGAATATTGTGGCAAAATATTTTCTATACTATCATAGCGAAACACAAAAACAAGATTTTTTTAACCTTTATTTAACCAAGAATGCCCCATTGAAATTAAAAACCTCTTTTTAGAGGGAGTCCTGACCAAGAGGCAGTAAAAACTTATAGTTTAAACACAATTAAAATGGCATACAAATTAGATAAATCAATTACAGGTTAAGGAGGCTGTCTAAAGCGCTCTCAGTCTGGATTTAAAGTCATTCAATGAGGTAAATTCTGTTAGTTTCCAGTCTATTTGCAACAGGTTCCATGTAGACGGGGCAGAGAAGACAAACCCCCCTTTTCCCTGCTCAGTGCAGGCAAATGGAACAGTAACTGCTTTAACATGGGCACAAATAATCGGAATACATGCCCGATCGGAATTAAAAATGCATCTTGTAAACATGTGATCGGAAGATTATGATTCAATTCAGCTCAATCGGAAAGAAATTGTATTATGATCGAGAGGAGTGGTTTATGCTGATCGTTATTCCGAAACGCGTCAATGCAAACATTTATTCCGATTGTGACTCTCTAACCTGACTCGGTCTTCTCTCTTTAGCCTTTGGTTTATTTATTGAGGCCAGTACAGGAGGTTTCGTTATTAACACACTGGCATAAAACATAACCGCAGGCGCGGGGTCTGCCCCTCTGGTGACATAAGAAGGCGTACGGCGTAATGATGTCACATCTGCACGCACAGTACAACCTTTGAAAGAACCAATATTAGTTAAGTAACTACGCGAGGGCGCCATCTAGTGACAACAGGTGGAAAACTCCCGAACTGGATGAAGTGAGCCACTAGCGCGTTTATTGGTCTGTTGACAGTGGATTCAGATTACCCGATCCCTCCAATTTATAATCGGATCAAGAAATTGTGCCCATGTAAACTGAGCAACATTAAGAATAAGTGGGGCTTTGTGCTACAGATCATGAAAATGTATGATTACTGCTGCTCTTAAATTATCCATGACATGTGTCAGAACTTAGCAGTTTTTCCTCAGGTTTCTGCGTTAAACTCAATATCAATCATAGACTCGTGCCCGTAATACGTCAAAACCGACAAAAAGTCAGATAGTAATCTTGAAATAAATCACAACCCCAAAGAGGGAAGGAAAAATTCCACAGAGCAGATTCATGGTTTCCACCCGTTCAGTCAAACGAGGGCGGTGGCGAGCAGACTTTACCTAGCATGAACTTTAAATAACGAAGCTGCTGTGCCCAATGGTAAGGATAAAACTAGCCGGATTACATAGAAACCATTGTCACCTCCTGACATGTCTCCGATTACTTTTAAGTTGGTATTTTAATGCGAAATGTCCGTGTAAAGTTAAAATCAACATATTTCTGAACAAGGTTCGGTCTGTAGGTCTCTTATCATGAGGGTAAAAACGTCACGACCGGACACACTGATGTCATGGGGGCAGCAAAATTCAATCCTTCCTCAGTGAAATCTATCTTTGAACCCTCTGATATTACTCTTCACTCCGACAGACGTCAGCTAATGTTAATAGAGAATAAACCCGGTCAGAGAATCAGGACGAGTTTATCTAAGGGAGGCTCAGAGTCCTGAACTTGAAAGGAGTACTCTCCAACTGTCAGGGTTTATTCACACGCGGTTAATGCTACCCACTTACTGTCATGTCAGTGCCAAACTAAAACATTAAAGTAAACATATGCTGTAAAAAAGAGACAGGAAGACAAAGAATATAGGGATAAACTTACGTTTGACTCCTCTGCGACATACAGAACTCAACCTGACGATAGCCGCCATGATGAACAACCAACCAAGGTCACCACCGTTACCCGGATGTAGTTACTGCAGTTGTAGGAATCCCAAAGATGCTCGATGTTTGAAAAGATCAGCACCATCTATGATCAGCACACGTTCTCAGTATGTCACCCTGTTGTTAGTTTTGCTTCAAAAGACGAACGAAGTTATCATGGAGAGAAAATAATATTTGTGAGTGGTTTTGTGTGATACAGCAAAAATATTCGATATTCTTGGACAAAAAAAATATTAATACACAAGGTGGGGAGAAACAGCTCATTTAAATCCATTTCTTGTATAAATGTGTGGATTTGTGGACAACATGAAAACATAAATGAGTGAATACTTTAAAAAGACATTAACGCAATCAACTTTAAATCAACTTAACAAAATAAAAATAAGCCAAAAGTGTGCGTCAATTTTTGAGTTGTCGTCTCTCAAACACAAATATCTTTGTAAGCGTCACTGCTTGCCTCATCTGCCAAGTGTTGATTTCCACATGACCCGGGTTCAAACCTACACGTCTGCAGCGCATCCTTATACTCTGTAAATTAGCGGTGATTCAGAGGCAGCAGCGCTCACTTCCAGCGGATAGGAAGGTCACCTCCCCTTACCTCCACTCACCGAAGGAGCCTGTCAGCTGGAGTTGAGAGTCATCTCTACAGCTATTTTACAATAAACATGGATAATTTTGACAACTACGGCGCGTCCGAGAAAGCAGAGGCGTCGGAGCTTCAGCGTATGATCGCCATAGAGCAGCAGAAAGCGCAGTTCCAGGCCCAGGTTGGTACTCTGAGTATGCTAACCATGCTCATGTGTTTAGCTTTAAGCTTTAAGAGTGAGGCCGCATGCTGCTAAGAAACTCAGCGTCAACTTCAAGCTCCTTTTACACAGAAGGGCTCTAATTGTCGAATATGAGACTTGAAATTTTGCTGGGTTCATGTCACTTTTATATTTTCACACTTAAATATGTTTTTGCGCTTAAGAAATTCAGTTTGGTATTGCCTTGGCCAGATATAAAACTTATACATTTCTTGTAACCAATACATCATGTATAAACAAAATGTGTACCAGATAAAAGACCAAGGTCTCAGGTATCTATTTCATATTCCTGTCATTTTCATATCTTGTGCCAGTGCAGAGTTATAAGCAATCAAATAAAGAACATAAACATGTAACATGTTGCCATTGGGTAAGTTGTCCCACTACATGGGGTAAGATGTCACAGTGGATTTTGCAGCTTATAAAACAAGGACAAAATAATCGTTCTCATTTCTTTTTTACATGAAACTGAACATCAGAGTCAGTCACAGAAAATGTTTATCATTGAACATAGCCATTGAACAAACGTTATTATAAAATATTATGCAACATGCTCTGGAGTTTGGAGAGCTGTCTGACTCTGTATTTCTGCTGGGGTGAATGTTTGGCAGTACCGAGCCAAGGTATATTAGTTAAGTCCTTTATTGTACTGTTTACTTTGGGTTGCGTGAAATGATTAATTGGCCTCATCTCAGCTCACAATGTGCTCTTCTCTTCTCAGACAAGACACGACCCCTGATCATGTAAAGGAACAAAACTAGTATCCCACTTTTTAGTTGTGCCCTCTGGTGGCAAAGATGATTACATGTGGTCGCACCTGAAAATGACATTTCCAAGTAAAAGTTTCTTCCTCACATGAATAAAAGTTTTGCTGGTTTATTCCAGGTGCACACTTTCACTGACGTCTGCTGGGATAAATGTGTTGACACGCCGGGGTCAAAGCTGGACTACAGGACAGAGACATGTCTGCAGAGCTGTGTGGAGCGCTTCATCGACACCACCCTGACCATCACCAACCGCTTCACACAGATGGTGCAGAAAGGAGCTCATTAATGACAGTAGTGGACTTGCAATGCCAACAGGACTGAAATCTTTTGTATTCTGATCATGTTAGTAATGAAGACGTTTTTACTTCGATTACTGTGTGTGCTTCAGAGTGGTGGAGCTTCAGAGGTTTAAAAAGTGATTTAAATGAAAACTGCATGGATGTTATGGTGAATGGCTGCTGAAAATACCTGTTCAAATGTAGAAATTTATGTGATGTGATGATAGTAAAGTGAAACTTTACACTCAGGTTCTCTGTCTGTGAACTTTCATGCAGGTCATTGAAATATAGGTAAATAAATAGAGTAAATCTGGTTAAAAATACAGAGACATCTAGGATGTTCACTTGGTGTGTCAGCATCATGTTGTAGAAAAAGAAAAATACACAGAAGAGCTTATTCATACCACATTTAATAGTTATTTATACATTTTAATGAGTAATAAATGGTATCTTAAAGGCATTACTTGAAGACATTTTTTTGCATTTGGCTGCCACATGTCCACCATAACTGCATGAAATGTCTTCAGACAACACAATAAACTTTAAATAAATGTTGTACTGTAATACAAATGAACAGATGATCTCATTTATTGTCAGTGTTACAATATTTTAAGCAATAGCTGTTGTTAGTGTGGAGTGTTTGGGAGCGGTAGAAAATTTTATTAAAAACGTCTAAAAAGATGAAACCTTTTCCTAAACTAAATCTCTTGCATCTTGTCCTCGGAAGATTATTATAAAACATTTAACCATTGGCCAAAAATAGAACATTGAACAACTGGAAAGGACACAACTCCTGAGTTAAAAACAACATGGGGACCAAAATACCAAACACTTAAAACTCCCAGAGGTAACTTTTAGTTTGTGTCCATTTTCTGCCCTCCTGTGGGCAAAGATGTACATTATATAACTGTGGTGGTCTTGTCCCTGTTTTGCTAAGATGGCACTTGGTACTGCTATCGGTGCTACTTTTTTGACATAAAAAAAGTACTGTTTTGTCTGAGTTATTTGTCTGGTTCCAATTGTTGGAACACAAAGTATTCTGGGAAATCGAACAAACCCCTAAAGACTGAACATGAAAGACCATACAGTATATGTAAACACAGATATTTGTTATAAATATCCTAAAGTGTAAGGCTATTTATATTCTTCGCTGCCCTGAGTGCAGACTTCATAGCGGTCTCTATCCACCCGTGTGGAGTCGCTGTGTGTTCCCCCGCGAAGTGCACCCGCCCCTCGCCCTGGAACAGTTCCCTGGCGTAGTGTCCCTGCTGGTACGGAGTGAACAGAGCAAAAGCTCCCAGACTATAAGGATCCAAACCCCACTTCTTTACCAGTCCTCCTGTACACAGAGGCCGAATGTCTTCTCCATGGATCTTTACCAAGTCCTCCAGTGCCACGGCCATCAGCTCGTCATCACTCAAACCCTGGAAGAGGGTGGAGTCATCAGAGCAGGTGTAGGATGCAAGAAGGGCTCCTGCATCCGTGCCAGGGAAGCTGTGGCTAGGGTAGTAGATAAAGCGGGACGGCCGGTCCGTGACACTCTTCCCTCCTCTGATGCCCTCTTTCTCCCAGAATCTCTGACTGAAGCTGAGGATCACTTTGGTGGAGCTGGCATAATGAACCGAGCGGAGGGCCTCCATCTTGTTTCCAGAAAGAGGAGGCTGGAAGTCAATGAAGACGGTGGCCTTGGCTGAGGATGTAACCAGAGCGTAGTCTACTGTGAGGTTGACCACAGAGTCTGAGTTACGCCAGTCCTGAAATGTTATGGTCACATTGCTGCCACTTGTTTGGTTGATGAGCTTGACTTTGGAGTTTAGGAGGATTGTGGCGTTTAACAGCTGGTAAAAAGCTCGCGGGAGGTGGTCAAAGCCATCAGTCACCTCGAAATATCTGGAGGAAAACAGCCAAAACAATCTTATAATCAAAGTGCTAGTCTGTTTACACAGTAAATATGAACAACTCACTCTCACCTCCTCTTACTGTGAAAAAAAGTCAAGCCAATATACGACTACAATGTGAGTTAGGACAACATAAGGACACAATTGAGACAAGTGACTAGACAAATAGTAAAGAGATCAAATCAGTATTCCTCACTCTGTGTTGTCGTTGATGTCAGACTGAATGTAAAGCATCTCTATCAGTGATGTGTAGAAGAGACTGTTTTCATTCAAGAGGTCTCCCACCATCCTCAAAGCACCACGGCTCAAGTTCCCTTCCTTCACCAGGTATTCCTATGATCAGAGAAGTGTTAACCGTCATTGTTACAGTAATATTTCTCATTTAGATTCAAAGTGAGTGGAAATACAATTTCATCCTTACCTTCACTGTGTAGGAATCATATTTATCCAGCATGGCACTGCAGCCCATCACCTGCAAGTCTTCCCTCACCTGAAGTGTGACATTTAAAAGACATCTATATCTCTAGTCTATGCAATAAACATGCTGACATGTACAAAAGTAATAATGATAGTTAACAGACCCTGAAATGTACACAAACCTTCCAGAGCGTCTCACTGAAGAGCTTAGCCGCCGACTTTCCTCTCTCTCTTTCATTCAGGTTGTAGTTTAGGATATCTGGGTTGTCTTCCACCGCATAGGTTTTCTGCAGGACTCCATTCACAAAATAATATGTGTTGATGTCATCTTGGATGAAGTGGTTCAGGGAGATTTTTAATTTGGAGGCAAAGGAGAGAAGAATCCTGTTGAGAAAAAAGACATCAGATAAAAAAACAAACACAGAATTTTGAACTTTTGATTCAATCATTCAGCTTATATACAGGTGGACCCCCAGGGTGCTAGGAGAAAGACCCTGCTGCAGACACTCTGCAGACATGGAGCTCCTGAAGTTCCTGCTCAACTGGATATCAGTTGCTTGAAGTTGGACCTCCACTTGGATCTCAGCTGTTAAAATGGTATGAAGCTCCAAGTAGAGGCTACTGTAATATCATGCATTGTCTACTGCAACTCCTTACTAGCAGGACTGTTTATGGTGCCAAATCGGTATCAGTGAAGTGAGGTCAGCTGTCACTGCTGCTGTATTATAGAGTGGGGTGCAGTACCTAAAAGTGTTGACTTGGTCATCACTGGATGAACTCACTTGTGGAAGCTGGGGATCCTCATGGCGCCAACTTCTGCGTACCAACCCTCTCTTCTGTTCCTGAAGGTCTCCACTCGTCCTCCCACACGGTTACTAGCTTCTATTATGGTTACCTTTTCCATCAGGGTCACAGAAGATCATGTCAGATAACCATTCAGGCTTATTAGTATCAGTTTCCACAAGACTCAGCGTATTAATGTCTACATAGTTGTTTTTCTATCCACCTTGTGTCCGGCGTCTTCTAAGAACTTTGCAGCAGTCAGTCCAGCGATGCCCCCCCCAATGATGGCTACATGACGAGGGGTCTTAGCAGCAGGGAGACCTGTCTCCACGATGTTGAGCAGTTCACTGTAGTCGGTGTCTTGAAGGCACTCATACAGGGGGTCTCCAAAGATTCCACTCGCAGCAAACACCACGACCCCTACTAAAACTAATGGAACTGGGACATGACACATTCAGAGTATTAGGAGGCAAATGCAAAAGTGAGGACATATTTCCAAACTTTACCAGCTACAGCAAGAAATTTCCCCAATCCCATAAATAATCAATGACAGCAACATGAGTAAATGAAATATGTGACGCTGATATCAACACGTAAATCTATCTTTAAAGAATCATTTTTATATAGATATTTGAAAATGTATTCAAGAACTGTCTCATGGTCTTTTTCTTTGACATTTACATACCCTAAAACACAAAATTTAGTGTTTTGGCTCAAATTTTCATTCATCCATTCATTTGTTAATTTTCATCCTTCAAGCTATAGACATCAATAATTTTATCCATTCACAAGAAGAAGAAGAAAAAGAACTTTATTAATCATCATCAATCCATTTCTTTATTGATCCATTCATCCCTTCAATTGCTCCATCTTTTTAAACATCTTTTTATCTATCCATCGACTCATCATACCGTTTATTCATCCATTCATTCATTAATCCAGTCATCAATGCAACTATGCTTCAAACTATCTATAATCTATAATTCATAATCCAAAATTCTGTTCATTTATTCACCAACCTTCAGTCAATTTATCCAACTATGTATAGATCATTTTATTCATCCATCTATAATCCAACCCCTCAACCATCTCCTCATCCAACCAACTACACATTCAGCCATTCATCTATCCATCCATTGATGATGATTTAACCTTTTTGGATTCATTATTTAAAAAACAAAAAACAAAACAAAAACAAAAAACAAAAAACAGGGACTGAAGGAAAAAACAGAAAAAATACAAGATGATGATTCATTGGAAAGTTTGAGGAACTTCATTGTTTTATATGAGCACAGTTAGTCAGATGAGTCAGTTTGGGATTTCACACTGAGCAGGATCCTCAGTCTAACAGGAAACTGACTTTTCCTGTGCAGTCTGTAATGAGCAAGAAACTTATTTTCATTCTGCATGTCTTAGTTACACTGTTTGTATTAAAGTAGAAAACCCGACCAATGTGTAATAAATCACAGCGTCAGAGTGGAAGTTCAAAGTAGGTTTACATTTACAAGGAACTGTTTGTCTGTTTAGGACAGAGCTATAGTGATCCTCACACACAAAAACTCAATGAAAATGAAGCAAAAACAGAAAGTGAAAAGATTAGCTCATGCTTGGCTTAAACTGTCCGCATCTTCCCAAGTTGACTCATTGTTAAAAAAGTTCTTGTTTTTTACACATGACACAAAAGTACCTCTCTTTTTTTTTTTTTTTTATAAAACTTGTCCTTGTGCATGTAGTTTTCTTTTCCCTGGCACGGGTTTTGACATTTTTATACTATGCATAAGAAGTTTGTTCATTCCCTGATTCAACTGCTTCATAGGTATCAGCTTTGTAACTGTTCATTTACTGTGTTAAAGTAGAACTAGAAGACAAAGTGATACTTACAGAATTTGCACAGAGCCATGTGAGGAATCATTTTGAGGATGGAGCTCCACAGGTTCGACTTCTTCTTTCTGCTGTTACTGATACTATGAGACGAAAGCTAAAAAAGCACAAAGAGATAAAAGGAAATATATTTATTACAAAAAAAAAAAAAAAGATAAAAATGCAGCATTTTGTGATTTTTACACTCCTTTTGAACAGTCCAAAGTTGACCAGTTTGTCCTGTGGTCATTGAAAAAATACATTTCATTTAGTGATTAAAACCTCAAAATCACAAATTTGTTCAAAAAAAATAAAACATAAAAAATCTCAGATGAGCCTCTCTGCACTCCACTCACTTGTAATAAAGGTAATGTCTCATCGGTTGTTGTGAGTCTATGCATGACTGAGATGAAATGAGCGAGTCGTTGATAAAACTAAACTTTCATCGCTGTCTCTAGAGCACAGCCTGGAAAACCTGGAAGTGTGGGATGTGTGAAATTGCACACGACGTAATTTTAATGAGGGGACTGACTGTGTGGCTCCTCAGGTCTTCCAGAAATATTTTCCCACACCGGCTCGAGAGTCAACCACACTGAACAAATCAGATTAGTGAGGTTATACTAGTCATCTGCATCGCTCATTTCCTCCATCTGCACTCATTTCAATATCTGACCTGAAAGTGCTCGTTTAGCATCTTAAAATGTCAAATTTAAAGCTGCAGCTCAATGAAACATCAAATCAATCAAGTGGAATCAAAGCTATGCATTTAACATCCTTACTTCCTCTTTTACAAAAATCTCTTCCTTTTCTTTTTCAAATAAATGTACTTACCTGTAAAATTGTGAGGTCCACAGCCAAAATAAAGCAGTTCCAGCTGACCTGACTTGTCTGTGCACAGTGGACAACAAAGCATGAATTCTGCTTTCATAGGCTGTAGTAAATGAAACCAAAAGCAAGAAGATGAAAAAGGGTTTCATTTTCTGGATAATAGAAGTGGCTGAATTTGCAGTTTTAGTTTTCAAACATAATTCTTGCTTTACTTTGTGGAAAATGGAAGTGATTGGAGAACTAAAAAGGAAAACTCTTAATCAATTTAACCAAAAAAGAAAAAAAAATAAGGATAAAAAGGTGTAACTTACAATTTTTTCTCAGGACACCCACACAGGACCAGTTGATATCTATCAGTGTTCCGCTTGACGTCTGCCTCGTGTCAAAGCTTGATTTAACTGAACGGAGAAACTCACCTGACCCTGCTGTAACAGCTCAGGTGAGTTTCTATATCCCAGGTTACAAAACTTTTCAGCAACATACAGACATGATTCATAGCTGACCTGGCGTTGTTCGAGGTCAAGGGGCAGGTTTTATTTCACATTAAGTGTTAAAACACCAAGGTCAGTGAACTAATGAGGCTTCAGGAGTGAAGTCAGCCATGTTAATGCATAATGTGAAAGGTAAAGCTCTCATAACACCCTGAGAAAGCTCAGAGGTCTCAGCCATGAAGTCAGATGGCTGGAGGTCTGATAGGTGGAGAGGTGGTGTGAAAAAAGTCTGTTTAATGGGTAGATTTGCTGAAGGAGTGGGAAGAAAGCCATAAAGAGGTGACATTTTTGGACTTAAACTGACCCGAAAGCCAAAAATTGAAGTTTTAAGGATGGTAATGTTGCTCAACCAAATGCACTTTTACTATTCAAACTTTAAAGGGGTCAGAGGTATCAAATGGTTTTTGCATACATTTGCCTAAGTGTTATAGTCTAAAAGTCACAAAAATGTCCAGCTGAGATGTACTTGGTTCAGACACTCTTATTTTAAAATAAAGTCACAAAAATGACGGGCTGCTGGTCTAACTTAGCCTACGGTTCAGTAATCCTGTAATTAACTTTAACTTAATGTTACGTTTTGATTTATTTTAGAAACACACGCATCATTCATGTACTGTTTTAACTGTGCTGTAGTAGTAGTACAAGTTCATATTTACTTTTAATATACTTTTATATACATAGACATTTTATATACATTTATAGAGCACCTGGAGATTTCTAAATGTTGTGTTATCTTATTGTGATATCCTTTATAAAGTTAAAATTGAATTTTTCCTTGTACCTCATTGATTCATCCTATTAGAATCTAAGGAAGTTTAAAACACAGTTTAGTTCTCTTAAACTTAAAAAAAAAGACAGAAGTAGCAGTAAGTTAACAAGAGAAACTTAATCAGTTTAGATGCTGAAACTTTGTTTTCCTTGAAAAAACTTGACCAACAGTGTTTTTTGAGGGTAATCATTTATTTATTTTTGTGTTATTTTTGTTGTGTCCGTCACTTTCTTTGTATTGGTAAAGCTCAGGTCAAATTCATGTAGTCCCATACTATCTGTAAATTTTTTTCTGCCATAGATGCAAAAAAACATAACAAAACAAACAAACAAAAAAACCTGGCCGGTCTGATCTCTTCAATTGCATAAAAAAAAATTCCTGTGGACAAACAAACAAACAAACAAACAAACAAACAAACAAACAAACAAACAAACAAACAAACAAACAAACCAACCAAGTGGGTAGGTGAGAATTTTTTTGGTTGTTGTTGTTGTTGAGAGACAGTTAGGAAGTTCCTTGTTTGAAAATAACTATATATATATATATATAATTATTTTTTCTCACATTGTCTACTCAATTTGAACACTTGTGACTTGCATTGGAAATTGAGAGAAAAACCAAATGCCCCTTCTCATGACCAAAAGGGCAGTGTCAGGAGCATAGACTTCTCTATATGTACAGTCTATGGTCAGGAGCTAGTCAACGTCACCACTTTATGACTATCAAACATCATTACCCATAATTCTTAGCCGCAGGTAACGCTTTGAGAGAGATGTGGGCTACATGTCAGCGTTTCTCACGAGTTTTCCTCTGACTTTTCACTCTGAAAAATCTGTATTTAATTCTTTCAGATTTCCTTAAAAAAAAAAAAATTCCGACTGGCAACAGACGCTCCTTTGACCTTACGTCAGCTCACAGGAAGTAAACAAAGCTGACCAAACAGCTGACATCAACACGCTCACGAGACCGCCTACTGAGTGCCGTGACAGCTCGTGCAGGTGATAAATGTATTTCTTGTAATTGAAAAAATAATTCTGGAAATGAATCTGCTTTTTATGCTATGGTTATGCTCTACCTCTGCGGCTGGGTGATCCATCATATTTTAACAGCTAGCTAAACTGTTGATGTATGTCAGACTTAGCCTAATGCTAATGTTACACACTTAACAATTTCAACATAAATGCTTATTTACAAAGTATAACACACAAAGAGCACCTTGAACGAATCACCGTAATGATAATATTGTTTCGGCTTCATGTTGTACCTGTAAAAAACATTTGGCAGTGAGTACTGGAGCAGTATCCTCCTCTTGGTGTTACTTTAAAGGTGGAGGATGTAGGAAAACTGCTGGAGTCGATCAATCATAAAGTTGATATTAAGCCGTAATATAATGTGCGAGGTCGGATATTGTGATCCCGAATTTTCTGCTCTTGTATGTAATGAAATAATTCAAATCTTTTTACCACATGTGTTGTCCGTAGGAGTGGCATCCCAAGATAAACAGTGATATGTCAGATTTCTAAATGGGGTTTGGTTGGGCGTTTCCGCATCCTGAAGCGATAACGGCATACAAGGGCTGACGTCTGTCAAAAGCGCTGCCTTGTACCCAGTAGCCATCAGATCTGATAAAAACAGATTTATAAATGCTAAATTGGGTGGTAGTTAGTAGTGCATTGCCGACTAACGTCAGATAGTACTTGTTTTTAAATATGTGGTTGAAAAATGATAAATTAGGTCAATTTAGATGAATTTCCTTATGATTTATAATATGCCGCGCTTACTTCCATATTTATTTACACTTTCCTCTGACTATACAAGTATCCAATCCTGATAGTATTCTCGTTTGCTTTTGTTTTAAAAGGTGTGATGTTAATCTGGTATCCATGATCTCTACATCGGATCCTGACGGTGTCCAGCCGCAGACCAAGCCCCCCAGTGCCATGTCTGAGGTGCTGGGACAGAGGAGCTTGTTAGGCGTTGGGGTGTTGTTGGCATGGCTGGTGCTTTTTCACCTACTGGTCAATATCTGGCTGCTGTGCGTGTTTACCAGCCTGTTGGTGGTGCTAGGCGGCTGGTTGGGCTCGCAAGCAGTCCTGGAGTCAGACAGTGTGATTCACCTGGAAAGGTTCATCAAATTTGAACAGGTAAATTTACACTGCAGCTGTTAATACTGCTTATCATCTTCACTTTTTAAGATAACACAAAGCTCAAACTAATTTTGTTATTGTTAAATTATAGGTTCGGCCTTCTGTGGAGGATGAACGTGATTTGGACCAGGAGATCCACAATACAGTGAGAAAAATCATCAGGGACTTCGTGACCTCCTGGTACTCCACTGTGTCGTCAGAGAGCCGGTTTGAAATGGAGATTCAGGATGCCATGATCTCTATGGCCATGGAGCTGAAAATGCGCGCAAGGCAGGTGGACAGGATGGTATGTAGACCTTAAAGACACCAGTGTTTGGATGGTTGTTGTTACTTGGTATGCCTGTACTTTGATCAGACAAAGTACAGCATTTAGCTAGGTAGAGTGGAAAGGAAAAACTTGTAACCGTAACCTCGAGCAGAACCAGATTCATGACTTGATACAGGGATTTGAGAGGGGAGATATGGAAAGGGGATGGACAGAGATGGCTGGTGACATTGCCAAAAATAATACAATAAGTATGTTTACCGGTTACAGTCACAGCATGTTATTTATAATAGACTAATTTTAGTTTAATTTATAGCAATTGAAGTCAACAGGTCTAGATCAAAGATTTTGACCTATCCCTATTCAGTACAGAACAGCTAATTTAAACTAAATCTCTAAGAAAAACAAGAAATTTGCACAAATAAACTCAGAATGAAGTAACTGCTATGACAGAAACCATGACTGAGAATCCCTTTTTTGCGTGTAATATGATTTTCAAGTTTGACCATGTCCCATCTGTTTTAGTGTTTTAAGGATCATTATCAGGGTTGCTTGAGACAGGGCTGAGACAGACAATCTTCAAGTGGATATTTTCTAAACCCCGCAGGAGCTGACCCAGAGGATCCTGGATCTGTTCGGCTGCCACCTTCAGGACTACATCCGAGCCAAGGAGCTGGTGTCCGAGCAGCAGAAGCCTCTGACATCAAAGTGGAGCCACGAGAGTGAGCTGTGGAAAGCTTACTGCAAGGTCACCATGCCTCACCTCGCTATGACCAGCGAAACAGTGGAAGTAAACCACGCCAGAGCAGTTGTAGACTTGTTGCTGCATGTTTTGGTGCCTCCACCGCATTTGGAGACCCGCACTGGGCGCTTCGTTGTTGGAGAGCTCATCACCTGTAATGTTATTCTCCCTCTGATTGCCAAGCTGTCAGACCCCGACTGGTTAAACTTTCTGATAATTGAAATATTCAGCAGGTCCAGCAAACCACAGGAGCCAATAAAAACAGAGCTGCAGACCCCATCCCCGCCAAAACAACTACTGCCACCTGCTGAATCAGAGCTCTTTCCACAAGCAGAGGCACCTCAAAAGATCAATGAACTCACTCCAGTCAGAGCCACGACGGAAATATTTAACCACACAGGTACAGCCTCGTCTGAACTTGGGTACGATGTGGTTGACTCAGAGGAGGTTGAATGTGCACAGAGCATCGCCGACGAAGAGGAACCTTCTCAAACTTTTTTGAGGCATTACATGAGAGGAAGCAAATCAAACCCATTTTACCAGGAGAACGACTCTGATCTGGACTCTCCCTCGGTGGACTACAAACAAAGCTCCATAGATTCTCTGGTTATGGTAGGCCAAGAGGAGGGTCTGTATCACATACACAAAGACTCCGTCTCATCAGCTGAGAACAGTGTGGACCAAGAGGATGTCTGTCTAAGCCCGGTGGATTCCTCCTGCCCTAAAGTCCTGGTGAATTCACAGCCGGTAGAGCATCCGAACAGCTGCAGCCCCTCACCTGTTCGAGCAAGAGACGGGACCGCAAGCAACAACAGCAGCCAAGATCTAGAGAGGGAGGCTCCTTCAGTCAGTCCAGCCAGAGATCTCCTCCTGAGTGTGGAACAGGGGGGGTTAGGGAACTCCACGGAGCTGACTGAAGTGAGTCCGCTGCAGGCCTCATCCCCTATGCCTGCGTTCAGTTTTGAGCCCCTCAGTAGCCCAGATGGACCAGTCATCATCCAGAACCTCCGCATCACCGGGACCATCACTGCGAAGGAGCACCGTGGCACTGGCTCACATCCTTACACCCTTTACACCATCAAAGTAAGAGGATGAAACAACCTGTATCTGTTTCTTCTGCTTAAGTTTATGATTTGTTCATTCAATTATTTAGTATTTAGCATTTACTGCCATACACATCAGCAATATCATTTTGCAGTTCATCCATTCTGTAGTGAGCGCATCTGTTTGCACTTAGCTCTATAACAGACTAAAATCTCCAACCTATTTCATAAATCCAATACAAACTTAATTGCAACAATAAAGGATACAGCGTTATGTTTTATATGCCAACTTTATGGGGAAAATCACAACACCACAGTATGTTTCAAAGTGCTAGAACTGTGACTGTGGTCCTGTAGGTCCATGTGAAAGGATTTTTTGTGCATCACTGAAGTGGACAAAGTTTATCTTGAACTCGGTATTGTCAGTCTCTCTGAATGTCTTTTCTTGTTTTCTTGGTGAAATGATCCTTTTTAATAATCAGGGTCCAGTTTAACACAAGTTATCGTACCAGATTAAAGCCGTTGGATTGGGGTAAGTGTAGAGATTGTTTGGTATTTCATTTATAGCACCAGTAATCCAGATTTAGTTAGTGTAGCTTTTCCTAGCAAAACAGCGCTGGAGAGCTGGAATTCCTGATCCTGGATAGAACAAGTGGATTTCTGTTTTTGGATCCCTCTTAGCCAGAGTAAATTTAGCATGAAATGTAGTGAGAAATTAACAACATTTATGTGTAATCCTGTGTGTAGTACTATTATGTAACCAAACAAAGGTAAGGAAGTTGAACCAGCTTTGTGTCTACTTTTGTCCCCTCTGTGTCTTTTTTGGATATTGGCTTCTTAAACAAGCTTTTTGTCACTTTTAAGCATTTTCTCAGTAAATCAAAAGTACAAAGATGTGGATTTGTGTAAAAAAAAAGTTAGTGTAGAACCTTGAATGAAATTAAACAAAGAAACTAGCACAGATTTTAACTGCTTGGCAGAAAAATATGGATGTTTTTCATTTAGTTAGACATCTAAAAAAGGCACTAGGGAGAATGGGACAACATTTACTTTCAGAGCATCAGAAACTGTCTTTTTGGTCCCTCGATGCTTGCAGAATGTTGTTGTATAGTTTTGTGTAGTATAACAATGTTTTGCCTGCATCAAATTTACAGTGAGCATGTTTTAAAACAGTGGAAATTTCAGCTTCAGCGGTTAATATGTTGCCTTTGCCTTTTTTAAAATTAGATACTGGGTTTGAATTATTTGCAAACCATCAAATTCCATTTTTTTTATCAACATTTAAGTCAGTGTCTCATCATTTCTTTAAACTAGAGGTTGTAGAATCAGGCCAAAAGACTTTGACTGGCTTTGTATATTTATGACTGTCATCTGAAAATCCTGTCAAGCTCTAAGCTACATCCTGTTGTTTTCAGTATGAGACAGTGGTGAGTTTCGAGCACCCAGGAGGCCTCCAGTCTAGTCTTGAAGAGGGAGATGTTGTACCGTCAGTGTGTGAGAACCCGTCAGCCGTTCAGCCGGTCGCTTATCACATGGTCAACAGACGATACAGCGAGTTCCTCAACCTACAGACACGACTGGAAGAAAAAACAGACCTTCGGAAACTCATTAAAGGTTTGAAGAATTATCAGTTTACAGATTATTTGAGTCGTCATTTGTAATCCAGAGTTGGTATTTGAAGCACCAGTGTGCCCAGTGGCATAGTTCGCTTTAGTCTCGTTTGGAAAAATCAATGCATGGCCCACAAACAGACTTGGATTTGTAGTTGAATTCTTGGCTATTGATTAAAGATCCAGTTTGATTGCTGTTTGGTACCGGAGCCAAAAGTCAGGCTTTATTGTAATCTGATTTATGTTGTGCCTTAGGTGTAAAAGGTCCAAAGAAAATATTTCCAGACATGCCATTTGGAAACATGGACAGTGACAAGATAGAGGCCAGGAAAGGACTCCTGGAGACTTTTCTCAAGGTAAGAGAATCCATATTGATTTCACTGCTTTTAAACTTTAGATTATATTTTATTTAGCTTTTTTATCCCTGAGGTTGTGAATAAGAAACTTGTTCTCTATTTTAGCAACTTTGTGCTATCTGTGAAATCGCAAACAGCGAGGAGATGCAGGAGTTTCTGGCTCTTAACACGGATGCAAGGATCGCCTTTGTGAAGAAACCTCTTATTGTGTCTCGCATAGACAAGGTTTGATACCGAATATTTCAGAGTGCAAAAAAATAGCAAACATACTTGCATGTGTTTTTGTAAAAACCCTAAACATAAAAAAAACAGCATGTTAGTTTTGCGATGTGATGCAGTGATTGTGTGTGTAGATCGTGATGAACGCCATTGTGGACACCCTGAAGACGGCGTTCCCTCGTTCAGAGCCTCAGAGCCCCACTGAGGACAATGAGGGGGATGTTGATGGATTAAAAATCGGCGGTGACAAGAAGAGCAAGTAAGACGCAGGAATTTTACACTAATATTTATCCAAACTTTGTATGATGGAAACACAATCCCCCATACTGAGAATCAGAGGACTATCTCTGGTGAGTTGTCCCTGTTTGACCTCCAGTGTGAGTCCAGCTGTCAGAGCCAGCTTAAGTCCTCTGTAGCTGTTTGCCAGGTTGGTTGTGTGTTTTCACAAACAATACTGGCAGGCAAACAAACCTCAAGGAACATTTAGTTGCTGCTCAGAAATGTTCAGATAATTTCGCATGATCTTCGTTGGCAGATGAAGTTTGGAATGTTGTTTCAGTTTTGTTCCAAGTTTCCATTTTACTGAAAGTTTTGAAGACCACTTCCCCATGTTGGTAAAATGTTGTGGTTAAAGGTTAGAAGAGGCAGCATTGTTTTGAAGGGAGGTTATACATAAGAGGTTTCCTGTAAAAACACTGAATTTAAGGTGGTTTGTCCTGCTTCTGAGAAAGGGTAATGTGTCTGATACAAAAGTCTCTGGCTTGCAGTGAGTTGCACAGATTTTTTTCACCTTTTGTGTCAACCAGCTCCCTTTCACTGTTGTTACAAGGTCAAATGAGACCCATGACACCTTGGTAAGGCTCGATAAGTTAACTCCAGTTGTTTCCTGTCAGGTTAGGATGTATGCTCTACCTCCCCCTGATTCCCATTTGCATGAGGAGAGATAAGAAAGGGGACATACTTTCTCTAACTTTTGTTTTGGCTCCCTACTCATTGTTTGTTCTCATCTTGACTTGCTGGTATTTCATTGTCTGATGTCTCTTGAAGTGTCCTCTGCAAATACCGTCCACACACTACCTATTCTCTCAGTAATCATGACCAAAAGAGTGAATTTTTAATGAACTGCTTTTGTGATTGAACTTTTTGGATGATTTCAGATCTCGCATGAAGTTCTCCAGTAAGAACATCCCCCTCATGAACGGTTCAGACATTAAACCATCTGTTTTGTTCGGTTTGGAGAAAATCAGCAAAGTAAGTAGCTGAAATAGTTAATATTTTTACTTTTTTTACCATTTCTATAGATTTTTAAGTTTGTTCGCTATTGCCATCCTCTTTTCTGTGCACGCACAGGTGTTCAACAGAATGACTTTAGGAGATTTGCAAGCCTTTATCCTTGAGCAAGAAAAATCAGACTCGGGAGACCATCAAGGGAGGGAGGACAGTCCAATGATTAAAGAATTTAGAGGCCATTTGGACTTCAGCTTGAGAAAGAAAAACATCCGGGACTCTGGTAAGTGCAGGATGAGGTGAGGGCTCTCTACTCTAACTCATGTTGGTCAAGTTATCTAGTATGTGTGTCATCTACAAGTGAGAGAAGAAGAAATGTAGAGACTTGTGGCGTGTTCATCTGAAACAGTTTCCAAACAAACAACATGTAGAGTTGCAGAGTTTCGCAGCTCAAGGAAGAAAATTTAGGATCACTTCTTCATGGAAATGCATTCAGACCAAGACGCTGAGGCAGAAGAACTACCGCGTCTGCAGTGCCAAATGATTGTTATGATGACTGTAACTTCAAAGAAATGATCCGCTGCACTCGGTGACTGTCTCGTCAGGGCTCCCCCACAAACAAGCGGCTGCTGGAGGAGAGTGGGTGAGTTGTGTTTAGTCTCTTTGCTAAAGAAACCAGGCAAAGCTAAAAAGATGTTTGGTGGCTAGTACTAAGGCTGGGACTCTATACTGTTAATGAAGTTAGGTGCTGTTCTGAGCATTATTTGTGGTTATAGAGTGACTTTTTGGTTGAGGTTTGAACGTGGAGACATAGACCGCTGTGTATTGCTATCATGCAGTCGTTACTAAAGTTGGTATAACTAGAGAAGCAAACAGTCGTCAACATTCATCTTTCGAGGGGGTGTTACAGTGTGTTTGACCCTAACTTAATTTTATGCTGGAATATCCCTTTAACCGCCTTGTTTTGTACAGTTATTTGTTGGTCAGCCAGTTCATATGGAGTAATTGCTGATGGCTTTGTTGAGGAGATATTATACTAGAAGAAATCAAAAAGAAGACTGGGTTTTTTAAAATATAATCCCATCTCCTGTTTTCTCAGCGAAGATTCAGGGAGTCTGCTCCATGTTGCTTATTTTTCTGATGAATGAACTGCTTGGGTCAGTGATCACAGCACAAAGAATCTCCCTCTGTTGGAAACATGAAGATAAACTCACTCAGTGACCGGCTAATAGTTGAGTTAGCATCTCAGGCTTTGGTAACTCTGTGTATGCAAACTGCTCGCTCCTCTTTAGATCCACTCTGTCTCCAAATATTGACACTCATGACTCCAAAACAGTCATGTGATGTATCTAGTGGAGATGTGGACTCGACAGATACAGTGCACTGCAAAGATGATAAACTCAGATACAGAGTCTCCCTCTGGTCCTCCTTAGCTTTTTCCTCCTCCTCCTCCTCATGGCCCATCACCTCTCACACCCTCTCTTCCTCTCAGATTGTCTCCATCAGTCTTTCATATCAGCTCTCACCTCACTTGTGCACTCTGGAGTATTGTATATTGGGGTCATCACGTCATTAACTTGGTTCTGCAGCAGAAAGGAAAATCTAGAAGAACTTGATCACATTATAATTGGACCAGTCTTGACCTGGGATAATACCCTCTCTGCCTCTCACCATTACTTGTGCACTCATCATGCCTGCGTGTCTGACTCACCCCAGCTCGTCTGCTTTCGTTTTCCTTTTTCTTTGAGCAGCTCATGTTGTGTCTTCCCTCTTTCCTATCGACTTCAATCTACTGCTTTCCATTCAGTCTCCCTGATTACAGCAAGGCTATCTGATTGAAAACAGCCTGCTTTATACTCCAGTCACTCATCAGATTCATCAGAACAGATTCATATTTTGGCACTTGTCTGTAGCTAAAGGGACAAAACCCCATGAGTTTGACCTGTTGTGACAGTCTTTTTATATTCCCTTAGAGGAACTGAAAGCTTTCATCAAAGCCCATTCTCTGACATGGAATAATGTGCTTTGGTGATGATATTAGTGGACCTGAATGTAATGGACGAGGTATTGGCTTTGTTTTATAGCGAACTCAGCAGGAAATAAAAATGGGGAGTCATGCTTTTTCACGCCAAGCCAATATTGTTTTTTTTTTTTTACTTGTTTACTGCAGAACAGCAGCAGTGGTTGCAACATAATCCTTGAAGACATTTGCACAGGATCCATGTCCGTCCACACTTCATACCTCTTCCCCATAGAAAGACCCAGATTTTTATTTCAAGTATCGGACTACAACTCTTTATTTCTGTGTCACTTGAGTGTTTCTAAGTGCTTGCTTAAACTCTTACACAGCACATTATGAACTATCTAATTAATCAAATTCGTGTTAGGATATCAACTCCTCTTTTCTTTAAAGGAATTCCGACGTAAAATAAAGTCAGGGTTAAACACACCGTAACACTGAGTTAGACACCCTCTTGAGAGATAAATGTTGCTTGCTGCTCTAGTTTTACCAACTTTAGTAATGATCGCACGATAGCAATACACAGCGGTCTACCACTCCACGTTCAAACCTCAACCAAAAAGCCACTATAGCCACACATAATGCTCAGAGCAGCACCTAACTTCATCAACAGTACATATAGGGTCCCAGCCATAGTACTAGCCACCAAACATCTTTTTAGCTTTGCCTGATTTCTTTAGGAAAAAGACTAAACACAACTCACCCACTCTCTTCCAGCAGCCGCTTGTTTGTGGGGGAACCGTGACTAGTAGATCCCCAAGTGATGGTCACTTAATTTTACGCTGGATTATCCCTTTAAGGTGAAAGTACCACTTATGTAGATAAATGTTGTTGCTTTTGAAATAAAGTTCTAACATCTGTTTTGTTGGTTAAAAAAACTCAGTGCTCTTACATGAAAAAGTTTATTTTGTATAAATCCTTTCCTTGTTTTGTTTTCAGACTCTTAGTTGTAGTTTAAAAATGTTCACGGATATACTTGGATTTAGCTCATTTACCCTGAAGGATTACATTCTAACCTTTAAATCCATTTTTTTGGCTCTGACCTCTGGTCAAATTACTTTAATAGTTCTAAAAATTATGAACTTATTCCTCATTTACTTCATAAGCTTTAATCCTGTTGGCTATCATCCAATAACTTTACACCCTCTTGTAGTTTAGGTTGACATTCTGAGACTTCAGATGTAGAGAAGTTGGTGATAATTTATGAGAGTGTGAACATCTCAGAGCGTTGCACAGGATGTAAAAATGATGCTGCACTAAAAATATGTTGGTTTGCACTCACACATGCAGCTCCCCCTTGAAAAATTCAGAAAACTTTAAGAAATTTGGTGCATGTGTACATGCATTGTTAGCTGTACTTACAAGCAATATTTGCCCATATAATAAAGCTCAGCAGAGGACAAGCTTGCTCCATACTTAGTGCTTTCTCATACACAGCCAACACCCTCTGAAAGGCTACTGGATAAGGCAAACAAGATCACAACACTTCCAAGACAAAAACATGTCCCACATTTTTGAATTTTTCATTCTTATCTGTTTTTTGCTGCTGTATCGTCAGTCCTTGTAATTAGGGATGGTGATCCCTAATTACAAGTGATTACTGGTTTTTAGGAGCTTGCAGTCTAGCTCAAAGATGCATATTGCAGATTTTTATTGTTTTATGGGGCAGTTTTGTCTTCATCGATAGGTTGATTAAAGACAGACAAGAAATGTGGGGAGTAGATACTGAGGAAGATTGAAGTCTCTCTAAACGTCATTCTTTCTTTTAATGTTGGTCATATTCATCCTTATAGGGAATCCCATGTCTTGTGTGCGCCTATCTGCCCTAATTTGTCCTGTTATCTGCCCTATTGCATAACGCACCCACTCTGCTCCATCCTCCTCCATCACAGGAAAAAATGGATGATCACGTCAACGTTATGTGGAAACTATCTCAGATTTTTAGACATCAGAATGAGACATTCCCGGTTTAATTGAATCCAAACTGCATTCTTCCTTGTTAGGCGTCTGGTCATTGTCGTTCTGAAGGACTCCAGACAGTCAGGGTGAATGAGGGGTGAATGGAGCGCCTTTTTCTGACCAGATGAAAAATGTTCCAGGTTCACAGCATAGGGAAAGGTTATGATGTATAGCGTATGGGTGGTTATGCAAATCAGTGCTATGAAGTAGAGGCTTGTCTCAAATGTGCCAGTTGAGACTGTACAGTTAAGGTACAGAGTTACAGCGCAGACCAAAACACGTGACAATTCTCTGAACATATGACAAACATACTGTCATCAAATCACAGCAAAAAGCTTTTAAATGGGTGAATTAATTGATTTATAACCAAAAAGGCAGACTGTTATAGTAAAATAACAGTATGCCTTTGATCAGTATTGACATATTATTTGAAAAAAAAATTGCAGTCATAAACTCAGAATCGTCAGCATTAAAGGGAGTTTCAATAAAATGTCATCAGACTTCAATACATTTTTTTATCGTGATAAAAAGCAATCTGCATGTATCATTTCTTGTCCTGTGAAAACAACAAGTGAGGCTTAATTCAACAAAAAAGAGCTTTAGTCTGAACAGGCTTCTCGTCCTAGCTTCAATGTCTTTATTCTTTTACTTACTAATGGCATCCTTCTTAATCTTCATTGCTGTCTCTTCTCCTTCCATTAAAATGTGGGAGTAAGGGGGAGGCAGAGCGCACAGCCTAACCTGGTGAGAATGAGATCTCGCCCTGACAGGCTCCTCATTCTGACTCTGTCTTCCCTTTGCCCTTTTATAACATCTCTTTTCAGATGTCTGTTTTTTATCTCTCTATTTGATATTTTTGAGTGTTGGTATTGTGGTAACTTGGAGCCAGTTACTTTATTCTCCACACCAGAAACACATGAAAGTAATGATTTTAGACTGCTGAATATAGATGTAGATAGAAAAGAAAAAAACAACAACCCAGTGTTACTAAAGTTGAACCACTTGAGGGCAGTATTAGTACGTGTATGAGGGGATGCACTGATGGGAGCACTGAACCTGATTTTCATTTGGTGCACGCTGATCAAATGTGTCATTCTGTGACAGATTATAAACATGCATAAATGACTGAAAGGGTTTGTATTTTGAATGTTGTGTCTGATTCTTGCCTGAAACAGAGTCATTGCCCTCCACTGAATCATTGTGAGGGTTGTTTCTCAGCATTTCTTCCGTGTTTTGTCCACAGAATCTGAGACGGCGCTGGCGGAGGTGGCTCTGAACATCCTGTGTCTGCTGATGAGGGAGCAGTGGAGCTGGCTGTGCACTGAGAACATTCAGAGGACCATCAGGCTGCTGTTCGGGACGCTTATCAACAGGTGACAAGCTGCACCACACTGAGAGTCATGGGAAATCATGACTATAAAAAAAGCATCAACCTCAGTCCATTTCATTCACATCTTAAACCTAAATTCTCGCTTTAGCTGATAAAAACTTTTACATTTTATTCATTTCTCTCAGTCAAAATGTTTGCGTCCTCTGAAGTCATTCATTTAGCCAATCAGGAACTGGCATGAAAATTATACCAACCTGCAAGATTTCAGTCTAATAAGAGTTAAAGTTGTAATATAGAGAAATGAGAAGCACACTGGGGTAAATACTATAATGGGTTTTGAATGTCTGATGGCCCATCACTATCATAGTTATCTTGTTGTGTTGATAAATAGAAAACATACATGAGTGGACTCAGATTGCTCCTGTATTTACAGAAATATTCCAGTCACTTGAATGAAATGTGAAAACTGTTTTAATTTATACACATTTTATTGTTATTTCTTCCTGAGTTGAAATGACACCCCTTACATGTACTTTGGTGTGGATACCACCAACTCTCTGCAGGCAATAAAAATGTAGCTGTTGGTCCTGCTGTCAGTAGAGCAGGTGGTTTTTGGAGAGAAGCTTGTTTGCATGGAAAATGTCCACTTTAGTCCCAAACAAATGCAACATAACATCTTATTTCAACCTGCAGAAACACGGAGGCTGCTTTCCCTGCAGTGAGTTTTGGGGAGCGTTTCACCCCTGTGTGTGCCTCATGAGTTTGACAGTGTCTTTTTATTTGCATGGGTTTGATGAGCACGAAGCAGCACATTTTTGTAAAACAGGCCTTTTGTTTCTCAGCAGATCAGCCTCACCGAAGCAGCAGGAAGCTTCATGCTTGGTGGTTCTGCCAGAGTTGTTGACATAGAATATAGAGAAATGTGTCCCTTGTCACCTGCTCTCCCCATCCTTTGTGCTTGGATAACTTAAAACAACCGGATCAGGATGTACCGCTGATGCCTCCACAACAATGCAGATAAATGTCCCCCTCTTTTAATAACCATTCCCTTTGGATGACTCCTCAAAGTGCTTTTACGAGGGTCTCTGCAGCTAAGAAGCAGTGGAAACTTTGCGCTGCTCGGGGTGTAGACTGAGCCGGGTCAGGACGTGAATACACATGGTTCCTCGTGGAGATTCCACAGAGAGAGCGGTTTATGAGCTGCAGAGGCCAGTCATGTACAGCCGTTAATCATAAGAGTTGATATTTCAGACAAGGCTTGGCTGTCTGGCTTTGCAGTGGTCCGTGTTTTACAAAGACAGGAGCATCCCTTGCTGTGCAGTGTACCTTTACACCACTTCACAAATGGAGTTGTGTAATAAATTGGCTTTATCAGTTCGGTCTAATTCATGATTAAGCCTGCATGACATGAAAGGGCGCTTGTTGTGTAATAACATTTCTTTGTTTCTCTCATCAGATTAAACACAAACTTTAAAAACTATGTGCTTAGAGAAGGCATTTCTTACTTTTGGATCAGTGTCAAGTCTTTTCACTATTACATTTGTTGTTAAGAGTCTACGTGCAAACATGCATGCCTGCACTATTTGGCTCAGAAGAGAATACTTGACTGACATCAACTCCTCAAACATTTGTCACAGATAGGTATAGCTCCAGCTGCCAGTAAACCCAACATGCAGACAATGTTCTCAGGTTCTGATGTTTGTGCTCTTGGTACTGTGACCTCACGTTCCCCAGGGTGCCAGTACCAGAATATAGTTTGTTCATATTGATACCAGGGGTCGCCTATTTTAAGGAGTTCCACCGGCCCGAGCACGAAAGGCCTTGTGCTTTTGTTTGGCCTCGTCTAAATTTGGCGGCGGTCTGTCAGCATCACAGTGACAGCTCTCCGAGTGGCAGGTATCTCCTCTCATCAGCTGGTTTCTCTGTGCAAAAGGGGGGAGATGCTCTGGTTTCAATCTGATGATGAAGATGGAAACAAAACATGAAACTGTGTACTGAAGACAGTGCAAATGGAAGATATTAAAACAGGGGTGAACAAAGATTACCAAATTGAATGTATTGTGGAAAAGCCTTCAAAACTTGCTTTATTGTATAAAAACCTTGCTTAAAGGATCTTCTACTGATGGGGAAAACTGATTAAAGAGCAATGTTTATGCTGAGTTAAAATTGTTAGCGTGTGTCCGAGTAAACAGTCACAGCCATGACCTTTGGGCTTGAGCCAGGATTTACTGATCGTTACCAGAAGTATGCTCAAGTATTTTGGGACGAACTCTGTCTGATTAAGAGATACAAAAGACAAAGATGTACCGGTTTTAGTTTGCATTCCCAGCTAAGCCCCAAAGCTCCTCTGAACCATATTTTTAGCCATGCTGGCAGGCCGCTGTGGTCTAGACTGAAATATTGATTCAACAACAATAAAATTTAGAACAGACACAACACCAGAGGATAATTCATGATGGCTTTTTGCCCTCCCTTATTTTCCATCAGGTGCTGCCACCTAGTTGAAATTCTAAAGGGCTTAATCTTCGGTTTAAATATCTGCTAAATGCATGCCGGTTTCCTAACCCAAGAGGGCCTACATAGTAAACTCTATATCCGCAAGCTAGCATTTATTGTTCACGTGTTAGCATGTTGTTGTTTAGCATTTTGCTTAATTTAACGTACGTGAACAGGTGGCTCTGTAAATCTGCAATATTTCTGGGTTAATATGTTCATGTAGCTCAGCTCATCTTGCTTAATATCTTGTGGGTTTGCAGCTTCAACTTAAAGGGATAGTTCAGTTATTTGTAGGGCTGAAAAACCTGAAATTTTCCACCAAAATTCGAGTAATTGTGGGTGGGGGTGTTCCGATTCTGATGGCAAACCCTTCTGCGGCGGGACTGAGTGCAACTCAGCGTGAAAATATACTGATATCAGTACAAGAAGGCAATTAAACTCAAAAGGCAAAAATATAGATATTCAGCAAACCACTGGATGTTGATTAACGTGGACACTCTTCAACCTTACTGTCTCCAGCCTTTCTCCAGTGGGTTGGGCAAATCCAAAATGGTGAAAACAAGGGGGTGTTCTGAGAAAGGCTGTTACCTGTGACACAGGGGTGCTCTGAAAACACCACCACAAGCACTTGGTATGTTCCTCCTGATGAAATTAACCTTAGCCTGTAAATTGACATAGAAAAAAATTGAGTCAACTCAGCATGTGTTGACCAATAAGTCGAACAGTTGACGAGGACTTTACAGCCCTAGTCATTTAAGGTCCTAAATGATTTAGTCAGAGGGGATGCTGGTTTGGCCCCTTTGTTATAAACTAAAACAGAGGCGGAGGTTATTAACCTCTGCAGCTCTACTGGGTACTTCAGTCACTTTTAACAAACTGCCGTACTCTCAGAGAAAGTGAACGCTCTGTATGGAAAATGGTTGGTGTTTCTCTTTGTGTGCCGATCAGCTGTCAAGGTTTACAGGCTTTAAAAGAGATAACATACAACTGAGCAAACCCATAACTGAATCTGTCAATGACGATGACATGATGTTTACCTGGTATCAACAGCATATTGGGGCCCTTTGGATCAAAAGATAAAAGCAGCTCACACATGGATGGAGTCTCCATACTTTCCTGTTGTACTGTTCCCTGGTGTTTTTACTCGCTTTCTTCATTATTCAGGAGTGCTTTTGCAGAACCACAGCGTAAAAATGACTCCTGTTAAGTTAGCTGACTCTGCTTGAGAGCTAAAACTCAGCCACTCTCTTAATTTCTTGTGAGTGTCCATTTTCTTGGCCGGATGAGACACTGAGAGACGTTAAACACAGAAGAAATGAACTCAGTAGAGATTAATATCCTCATTTCCACTTTATCCTCAAGGCACCACTTTGGGCTGACTTTGGCTTTTCTGAACCATCTATCCTATAAATGAAAGCACAGGAGAAAGTATGGCACATCAAGCAGTTATATACACAGAAATGCTGAATCAACTTAGATCTAACTCTGTATTAATGGGATTATTTTTTCCCCTCGTTTTAGGCAGTTCCTCTTATTGTACACTGATCCACAAAGTGGTCTAAAAATCCCGTCTGGACATTTTTTAAGGAACTGGCAGTGTAAACCAAGAGCGGTGTAGTGTTGTCAAAGATTCTGACAGCTGTTCAGTCAGACATGTGAGAGGCAGCCGACAGCGGGAACCGTTCCCGTGCCCGTCTTCAGCTGTAGTGAATGCATGTCTGTCAAAATTTGGAGTTGTGAGCGCACACAGAAGGAGTGTGTTTGTGGGAGATGAAACCAGGATCCAGCAGACCAAATCTGGGTCTGTGTATGTCAGTGTGAGTGTGTGTGTGTGTGTGTCAGAGAGGGAGAGAATGGTCTGGCTGGAAAAGCCGGCTCTCTGCTCCTATAAATGGGGTCCAAGGCGAGGCGCTGGTTTGGGAGATGTCTGATTTTTATGGACTGGAAAGTGGGACAGTTCAAAATGAATATAGTCTCTTTCTCTAAGGCTCTAGCCTGGATGGAAAATTCATCTGGGGCCAGATTGTTGTCAGTACCCACATGTAGTGTAGATGTAGCAGAGTGTGGCCACTTCAGGAGTATTTGTCAGGATTTTCCATGTTCTTTTTGGATGGATGTGTCTGTAAACATAATGCTTCCTTTATTCCCCTAATAAATGCTTTGTAAACTCATGGACTGCTTAAAATAAGTGGAAGGAGATAAAATGAAATCACCCATGGGCTATTTGGCTACTGTGCTGAAGTTTGGTATTTTGGATGTCGTCACTTTGTGGTGTAAAAAGTCAGAAGTGACCAGGTTTGTGTAAGAGGATTATGGTGGACAAAAACAGGGGCGGTAAGTTGAGTCTTTTTTTTAAACCATAAATTGGCCCATTATTACCAAAATGAGCATCATGTTGATCAAAGAAACTTAAACCACCAACTGAGACCATAAACTCATGAGAAAAGTGTGAACTGAGGCAGTCAAACAAATATGATGCAGAGTGAATTTGTAATTGGCTTATACAAACTGAGGCCACTGTCACGCACAAACAGATATTCTTGAAAACAGATTTTCTTTTCTCTCCATTTTGAACTCCTGCAATGAACTTTTGGTTCATGTCAGCTTGTCTCTGGTCTTTCAATGGGGGGAAATGGAAAAACAGGCTTTTGTTTATCAGCAGCTCCACTTACACCTACCTGCCTGCAACAGTTACTTCTTTGTCAGCACAATAATGCAAATATAATTGAAAATGTCTACAAACCAGACCAGCAGGTGGTAATAATATGTTATCAGTCTGTCATATCAAACACCATGGAAGAACATGGCCATGCTATTTGAGCGTCTTCTCGAGCGAGCAGTGTTTTTTAAACTGTGCAAAGACAGTATATTGAGCATAACACATGAATTCACCTTCCCTCCGCAGTATCATGACGAACAGCTAAGTTCCCTTTTGAAGAAGCAAATAAACCAAACAGTAGGGAGCAGACATAAACACACTGGTAGACCGCCATCTTGGATTTATAGAACATATGGGACACATATAAACAACAACAGCCATGCACAAGTTGAGGTAGTGGTGTTAAATCCTCTGTTTTTAGCTCTCCTTGTGAATAGTGAAAAATAGGAGTTTAAAAACATCCCCTCTGGGTAGGGTTCTTATAAAACCTCTGTTTTCAGTGGCAAGGGGCTCAAATCAAGAAGAAAATTAGGCCGTAGGCTTCTTTTGAAACAAGTGGGAAAGCTCCTGAGTGCAGTTTAAGGCTCATTTGCATTTGATGAACACGTGAAACGAAGCGTATTTATCTAAAAAGTTTATAAGTAAGTACTTATTAGTTATAATATGCTAATATCTAATAACTTTTAAGCAGAACACTGTACTAAAATAGACGTTATGGGTGTTCACAAGCTTTAAAGATGGAACCGTTGGAGCTCCCCCTACTGACGGTTTCTGTATGGGTCAATAAGTCTGCCTCCTTCATTTTAGGAGATGGGACCTGGTTAAAACCCTCCAAATATAAAAATTATTAAAGGTTTTTAAAGTTAGCTCTTATGCTGATTGATAAATAACCAGTTATTCACATTTCTCAGAAGTTTGGTTTCAATAAGTTCCCGCTCTGTGGACCAATGAGAGGAACACGGGCAAAAGAACAACTGAAATTTCCATAAAGAGTAAATAAGAGTCTGCTTCAAAGCAACACAAGAATCTGTTCTACTGTGGACTATCCTAATGTGTCAGCACCCTTCGAGATGGTATTATGGCTTTACAGCTCAAAATGAGCGGAGCATGGAAGCTTTGAGTTGATATTAATGTACAATCAATGAACCAGAACCATTGCACTCATTTCAATATCCTCTGGCTGGTCTTCAAGACTTCATGACATACTCGACCTCCTGGCCTTATATGAGCCGGTATTCAGCCTCACATTCTCCGGCTGAGTTCTTTTATTTGTCCTGAAGCACATCTGCAGATGAGCTGTGATGGAGCGATTACGGTTTAAGTCTGAATCTGTGGAACCAAATCAGGTCAGCGGATTCAAGGATCGCTTTAAAATCTTCTCCCAAAAAGCTTTTCTTGGAGATGTTTCTTTGACTTCGCTTGACTTGACTGACGGCACTTTTAACTTTGACTTGAACTTTTTTATTCACCTTGTTCAGTTTTGTTTTATTCATTCAGCCCATTTTGTAATATGAGTTCTGGGAAGTGCTGCAGAAAACAGGATGATCATAATAACTAACATTAAGTATTACACACAAGAGCCAAATGTGATTTATTCTGGCCCTAGAAACATGAGAAGTAACTTAATAATTACAGATTGCAGGTGTTAAGGTTTTTTTTTTTATTTTTTGCATTAAACAGCTTTAAATTCCTCCTTTCAGACTCAATCAGACAATATCGGTTGTTATCGTGTGGTGCAGAAAGTAGGTCAGTGGTGTTGATGATACAGAATAATGATTGTAATTCATCAAATTGCATCAAGTGTTTTCAGATTGTCTCGGCAAGCTGTTCTGCCTGAGGTCAGTGACTCAGATCAAGTGTGGCATATTTCCACTAAGAGTCCAGAGGACTGCTGATGGACTGACACTTTCACCTCCACATGCAAAAAGGAAGGACAGGTGTGTTTTGTCAGTGCACCTGTGTAACCATGCAGGTACTGGCCAGTCTTTTCTGGGTCTCCAGGAGGCTACTTGCAGGTCTAAGGGGCTTTTTTGTAAGTTAACAACACGTCTCATAACACCAAACTTCATCCGGCACCTCTGCTCTGCCAGACCAGCCCTGCACCTGTCGAACAACGACATGATTCTTTTATTTTTACTCCCTAATGTGACATATTAATACTTTCATAAACAGTTCAAATGGTGCCACAAGCCCTCGTTGACAGCTTGATGATGGAGGTGAGGATGAAGGGCAGCACAGCGGATTTGGAGCTTGTCAACAGTCGTAACAGTGAATGCTCTCACTCTCTAAATCTCTCTCTCCCTCTCTCCTCTACACGGTTAATTAACACCCAGGGATCTCTCATCTGACACACTGAGGCCTGCTTGGGTTTCACCAGCGGTGAGCAGCAAGTTGTTTGGCTTCAGGGAAAGTGGTTTCTGTCTCAGTCACGGCTGGGCTATTTAGCTCGTGACCACATTGTGGCATTTGGAAAGAACTCTGAAGATGTGGTCAAAACTACAACTTTAACAAAATATATAGCTTTGGCTTTTCTAAGTAGTCTATTTCATTCAGCGTGAGTCCACTTGCATGCTGTTTTGTAATTGTTTTTCAAGTTTGAGAGCTGGCTGTTTGCCTCTAAATGCAGAGGGTTTGCACACACTGCAGGCAGGTGATTTTCCTCAGAGATCTGGAGCACACTGTGTCCAAGAACAACAGGCCTGAATGTTAATGTGGTTACTGAAGGCGCTTATAATGCAATGTTTTTGTAGAGCTGGACCCAATATGGGGTTTTTGAGACCTAACCTTTTTCAGAGGTGAAAAACTCAGAAGTGACTGCTAAAGGGTGGTGTTAAAGTTAAAAAACAGGCTTTTATTGGTGTACGCTAAAATATTATTATTTTTATTGAGCTTAAAAACTACATTTTACATGTTTTACTTTCACTTTTGGACTCCATACACAGCTTAAAGATGAAGATCCCTGTCAGACTTGGTCTCATAGCACCATACACTTGATGGGTTTTGGAAGGGGTCGCACACGCAGGAGAGGGAGGTGGCTGTTTCTGTGTTTCTGTCACTCACATCATGCATTGAAATGTGTCTGATTTGATGTGCCTTGCCAGCTAATGGATCCCTGAATTTTCATTGGGATCAATTAAGTACCTCCCTCCCTCCCTTTCTACCTCCCTCTGTTTCCAAGGTTGACAAGGTTCAACTGTGATAGTCCAATATCAGCCATCAGTAAAGGAAAAAATGATATTGCTGTTGGGTTCTTGTCAGAACTGTCTACTTTCAGCCTGTTCAAGTTGCTGTTGACATAAAAAAAACTCAGGAAGAAAAACACGTCAGAAATCTGAAATGTTTACTTTCTGCTCCTGGGTGTTACAGCGTTATTCAAAGCAGGATTAAGAAATAAAATGTGACAAACTTAAATACAAAATAAACTAATACCCAACACAGTTTGGCATTGCTGGAATCAGTCATCAATGTTGAATGGTTCTGGCGGTTCAATTTTATTCCTTTTTTCCAGGCACAGTTTGCAACGGCTGCATGTGGAAGTGTCTCTGGAAGTCATTGGACAGACCTGTGACCAATCAGAGCAGCTAATGTGTGACAGAGCGCAAAGCAACAAAAAATGTGGAGAGACCTACGCTTACCAATGAACATGCACCCCATTAATTCTTGATTTTAATGGAAATACATCATCCACTTTATTGAAAGTGGCTGTGATAACAGATTTAAGTGACCCCCTGTGGCGGTAGAGCTGTCTCGGTTATTTGTGCGGGGCATAGGCTGTGTGATTTGAAGTCTATTGTTTTTTTTCTAACTCTTTTCATTTTACTTTTTCCAATATGACATCAAACACCAGTGGTGGTCTGTAAAAGATTAAGTGTAGTTACCATAGGCTGCATATACTATGAACAACTTGGTTCCATCATTATACAAATTTGAAGCCGATATTGCTTTCGGTATTTCTAGTTTTTTTTTCTCCTCCTGGAACCACTACTTGTGCAGTAGCATTGTACGCATTCAGCGGGGGAGTTGCCGAGAGTCGCTGTGATGACACTCAGCTAAAACAGCGTATCCCCCGGGTGAGCTGTGCAATTGTCGTACGCCCATTGGCTGCAGCAAGTGTCAATCAGAGGAAACATGAACCCCCTAAAAACTTTTAAAAATGGTAATGGAAAAATTTATATTCTGTTTAATAAATTTCTAAAGTCTGTCCACAGCTCCATAGGGATTGCTGGAGGAGGTGGGATTTATGACCTATACTGCAGCCCGTCACCAGAGGGTGCTGTTCTTGTGGCGGCTTCACCCAGCGAGGAGGCAGACGGCGTCCACGCTATATACTTTCTATGTTTGTTACCAAACAGTGCCAGAAACAATTACCAGCCCTCCTGCTCAAACATCCCCCAGCCTAAGTTGCTCAGGTCAGAATCAGATATGGACAGAATTACAGGCAGTCTTATGAAAAGAGGTCAAAATGTATCTAAGCAGTGTCCTCCTATAGATATGCAGTGCGGTAAGAAGAAGAAAAATCTACCTTTACTTTTAAATTGACTGTTGTTCCACTTTTATTACCCTTCAGAAACCCTCCTTGCCTGTTATTTATCCTCACACAGGCCGCAATCCTCACCGTGGAGTTTAGGTTAGGACTCCAGTTCGCCCCATGCTGTCATGTGTTGAGCAGATCCATATGCAGTGATGTTTACTCATGTCAAACGGCCCATTTATTCTGCAGTCTACTGCTGCAGGCCTGCTGCCATCCCCGCCACAGAAAGAAAATACAGTTCAATTAATTGGTTCAGGCAGTCTGGACTAAAATGACTACATGTAAGAATATGGATCAGCAGATATTAGTGTTAAGATATTATAAGAGAATAGTCATAAAGGCTATTTGTAATCATGATGAGGTGACTTCAGAAGTTGTCGCTCCTAAAATTGATTCTTTTGGATGTTGTGTTTCTTTTGGCTCTACTCCCTGACTCTGCAAGTGTCAGAGTTCATTTTCTATCACCACTTAAAATAACAGAAGACCTCATACCGTGTAGCTGTCTAAATGATTGTCACTGACAGCGATGTGGTGAATCCAGAGGCTTAAGGCTTTCTCCTGTGGATGCGTTGCCAAAAATGTAGATCCAGCTTCTCCAGCTCAGGAGGATTTTTGACATCCCTGGTTGTTTTTCTACACTGGTGCTGTTCCTTGACATATGGGTCCTGGGGGCCAGGCGTTAGGTTTATAAACAGGAGACCGAGCTTGGAAGCTCCAGGCTTCTGTCAGCGGGAATTTACTCTCTGTGAGGCTGTGAGTGTGCCGGTGGTCAGACGGTGGGCCGTACATGACAGATCTGGTATTGGAGGGAAAAATGGGGGGTTGGGTATGTTGGATGGAAACGATGCTTGTTATGTAACTGCGCAGGCTATCTATCAGCCTCTGCCGAGTGGAGGAGGTGTGACATCCATGGACAGGCTGTTCCCGAGAAGAGACAAATTCAGACACACTCCTCGTGGTGGGATCAGGATGTCTGAGTGGTTTATATCTCACCCTCTGTGTTTGTGTTGGAAGTCTGCCTCGCGTCATGTCACCATCACGTTCGCCCGGGGCATTATTCCCTTTTTACATCCACAGACGCTTCTGAAATAAAAATATTATCTTCTATTACAGTCTAATAGTAGTCTGCAGTTGCTTCCAATTCCTGCAGCCCTATGTAATCGTCTCTTGGGGACATTATGGGTCAAATACCTAGGTCACTTCTTGGGAAGGTTATGAAACACACTTATCCCCAGCCCTGGAGTGCCATCAGTTGCAGCTTGCCAGCCTGTGAGTCTGGTTCCCCTTATTTAGTGTTACTGAGTTATAGGGACATCAAAGTCCTCCCTTGGCAGGACATGAAAGATAATACAGCTCATTATTGTCCACATGCTCGATAAAGTTAGACTTCGGACAAGTGCAGCGCTTTGAAAAGCTGTTAGGATGTTTGCAAAACGACCTCGCTGAAGTGACCCAATGGCCTCATCACATCTCTGGTGTCTGCTTTCTAAACTCACCTGAGCCTCTGGGCCTGAGATGTGCCTCCAAAGTCCTTCTTGGTCTCATACCCCGGCAATGACATGTTGTCTGCTGAAAACTGGATGACGGCCTATTTTAGTTCAACCTGGTTATATTTGTGTGTGTGTTTACCTTAAAAGGAAACTCAGGAGAAATCCCTGGAGAGTCCAGCACATGCATAGTGGGTTTTCCGGGTCAGCTGGTCTTCTATGTGTCTTTGGATTCTGTTGCGTCACTGATTGTTGATTTGCAGCCAAGAATTCGAAGCATCTCTGCTTCATCTAGATAGTTGTGTGAGGTTGATTGTTGGAGAATGGCCATGTGGTTGTGCGTTTAATCAGTTAATTCTGTCCTTGAGCCTGTGAGTGGAGCTGGAATTCCTCTTTTAATGAGTGTGCAGTCGAAGCTAAAAGTGCATTTATGTAAGACTTTACTTGAAAAATATTGCAATATTTGTCAAACTTGCTCTGCTTTGTCGAGAGAAAAAGCTTTCGTATTGAGATTGTAAAGATTCCTAATGTGTCTCCTCATGTTCCCGTAGCTGCAGACTAGGGCTGGGCGATATGGCCTCAAATCAATATCACGATATATTGAGCAGTTCACCTCGAGCATTAACTTTGTCTACTTCAGCCGTCGCTCCAGCCGCTACAACTTCTGAACCGTCCTCCATCTCCTCACCTGTCTTTCCCTCTTTGTTACAGACTGGAATGTATTGACATGGGCAAAATGACGTTGGTTATTGTTGTACATTTTGGAATCGGTAAATTTTCGGTTTATCGCCCAGCCCTACTGCAGACTCATTGGAGATTCGCCAAATCATCAGTCTATTGGTCGCCCTATATCTGCGCTGGCCCTCTGAAGGTCGATATCATTATTTTTCCAAATGAAAAACACGTTTTAAAGTTGATCAAATCTAACGTTTAAGATATGTTTTGTTTCATTATCAATTTAAGACAAGCACAGTAATCCGCCAAGCAAAAGTCGCCACTCACCCAGAATGACACCCAGAATACTGCTGGAAATTATACATTTTTGCCGAGCAAATGTACAGACTCATACTAAAATGTTCCCTCTAACTCATCACATATTATCCAGTTGAAGTGTGCGGTAGGGTCTGTATCTGCAGGCAATCTGCCCTCTGTCTGTATTTTCTGATTCTCTCATCGTGTGGCTGTGTGGGACATTTTCTGTGTCAGTCTTCATACAGAAGTGGAGAACTCACGGCCAAGAGTCGGCTCGTCCAGACTAAAGGGTCCAATGTAATGGGCGTTTTAGCTGTTTACTACATGTTTGTGTTGTTGATCTGCAGTGTCACAGTTTCTAACATCTTCATCTGAGAGTGAACTGAGTGGGTAGGATGAAGGGTTGATTGGCTGCCTGGATATTTCTTTGTGAGGGGATGCAGAGGTGGAAAAACACTTAAACAAGAAACTGCCAAGCTAAATGTTTTGTCTGATTAACTTTAAATCTAATCACAGAGAGGTGACAGTTGAAGGTCTTACCAACCCTTATTAGTGAGGCTTCCAAGATTAATCAAAAACTCTTGTTCAAACTAAAAAGCAATCGCTGGTTTATATGGTCCTGGGACAGCATTCAAACATTCAGACAGTAAATAACTAAGCACTTGGCATACTTGACTTGTCCACATGAAGGCACAACCACAATAATATATGATGAGGAAGAATCATTAAAAGATTTGAGCAGTTTTCTGTGCATGCCAATAATGGAATTTTGTTTGCTGCTGAAAAAGGATTGAATATAAGAACAAAATGTCAGAGTATGATGTGTAAATCAACTTTGACAAACAAATCCTAAGTCGAGTACAGAATGAGTTATTTCTTAGACTTCAAAAGTTCTCAATGTTAGTTAATCTTTTCTCAAATACTGCAAAACTCCAAATATCGTCTGTGATCTCTACAAGCTGGGGTTTGCATTTTGCTTGAAATGTCTGGGATCAAGGACTGAAGAATAAAAGACACGGATAAATCTCTTTATAAAATGTTCTTTCTCCAGCTCTTCCTGCGTTTTCCACCTGCTTCTTGTGTATCTTTGGAAAACTCAAGGGCAAGGCTCGGGAGGATTTTCCTCCAAGGATTTCAGTATGTCACCTGCAATGTAAACATTTCCTTCCTGGCAGACCCAACAGAGGAGTCTGAATAATCACAACCACAGACAAAAGCAGGCCAGGCCCCTCTGTTCTCTCGTGAGAGCTGCATGTTTTTCACCTAGGCGGTCTCAGTAGAGCAAAATCTCTTTCGCTGCTCTCCTTATATACTCTTATATCTTTACCTTTTTTCCTTATGACCTGTGCTTTTTGCTTTTACAGATGTTAATGCGCTAGAAAAGAAATCACAAACATCTGCAAACAGGGCGTTTGTGAAATTAGCAGGCTGACAAAAGAGACTAGAAGTGACATTTTCAGCAGGCCTCTCCTGAGGTGACCCACACTTGTGTTTTAATGTGACTTTAATAAAGTTACACTTCATGTTTTGCTGACTTTAAGCCACAATTAGCCCACAGGCAGAAAAGCAGAACATTTGTAGGTTGCCCTCCTCCTGCTTGAAAAATATCTTTCTGACAGAGCAGGCCTGGAAAACAGCTCTGGTGGTTTTCATGGTAGCAATAATGCTGTGCAGTCTTAATACTCTACCAGACCACAATCTCTCGTATAGAATTACTTGGCATTTGTCAGCTCTAATTGGTTGAAAGCACTCTGCTCTATGTGTGTGCATAGACGGTCTAAATCTGCGTGTGGTTGAATGATCCAAAGGGAAAAGTAATCTTGTTGGTGATTGCCATAAGTCTGCAACAGTGATGACAGCAGGGACTAAGTTCAATGGATGTTATTGTAGCAAATGCAGGAACCTTGACCTTTTGTTCTTGTGTGTTTTCATGGTGTTTGTGTGATTTTTTTTCTTCTTCTTCTGTGTGCTAAATTTGCAAGTTTGTGCATCGATGTGACCCATACAGAACCAAGACAGTGTTAAACCTCTGTCGGCCATATGTGATTAAAATCTGGCTCGAGGTTGTAACGTCACATGTCTGTGTTTTGACCAGCCATGGGGATGAAGGCGCCACGACAGTCCTAATAAAAGTGGACCATGTGCACACACTCAAACATACACAGAGGAAGAGAAGTGACCGTAGACGGCAGAGCAGACGGCTGTAAAACTGCACCTTGGCCTGACTCGAGGTGCTGATGTGATGAGACCCGAGTCAGAGGCTTGGACTAAAGTGTACGCCTGACTGAGAGCAGACTCATCACACAGTTTGGTGAAAACTCACTGCTGACATCTGTGGTGTCATAAACTGCAGACAATGAAAGTCTGGTTGCTCTCTTTCTACTTCTGCTGGAATAAGGTTTTCTGCTCTGAACTTCACTTCTGTGGTAGGATGATCCTGACCCAAATCAGTGTTATTTGGACACTTGATTTTCTTGTTTTTGAAGATTTTTGAACAAACACACAGGCTGCATAACCACAACACAAAACATATATCAATACCCCCCCCCTTCCAAAGACTCTTATAAGAGGAAAAACAGTGTCCTCCTATGACCATACCTAGAGTTTACTTTAAGAACAATATATCTGAATAATTTAGATATATAGTAAATATTATTAAATCATCACCAGGTGAACAAATCTGTTAATGATTGGCAAAGCCTTCAATAAAGAAAAGACTCATAGGTCAGGAGTTTTCCTGATAATAGTATCATTCCTTTTGGGGTAAAGGGGGTCCACTTCACAAAGCGTTGGGTTTTTATGTTGGGCCCTGGTTTCTTGGCTTACAGAGGACCTGAAAGAGCTGGAGCAATGCTGAGTAGAGAAAAGGCTTGGGATCCTTTTGATTTTCCCCAGAAAGAAAAAACTGCAGGTCAATTGCAACTAGAGCTGTCCCAGCATACTTGTATGGATGGGAACAGTCTTTATTGCATAATTAGATATAAAATAAGCAAACAGTAATATCCTCAGATTAGGGCTGCACTATTATGGCTCATAATTGCAGTTGTTTTGAAGATATTGATACCACTGTTATTAAACATAGTTACCCATCATTTGATGTCTGCATCACATACATCCAAGCAACCTAAAAATTTAAGTTTTATGTACTTCGACTGAAAGGGATCACGCATCAGTTAATCAATTTGCTTTGACTTATTGTCATTGAAAAACTTAATCAAATGCCAGCTTTTGTTCTCCTCCTGCTCCTCTCCCTGCTCTCCTCTCTTCACCTGTGGCTTCCTTGAAAATACAGCGGTCCTCCATTCATCTAAGTAGGAGCAGCAACTTCCTCGTGCTCCCAGTCTTTGTTTGACACTGATCCGAGCTGCCTATGATGATGTGAAAATAAAAGTGTTTTAGGGGAGGGGCCACGACCTCGCTCTGATGTTAGAAAAGAGAGGGATATGGGACATAACAGTGGTAACACAGCCATGTCGTAAAACACTGGAGAGAGGAAGAAGAAGCAGGTGACTGCCAGTGAATTAGCTCAAAGCAGCTCTCTGAGTGTTGATTCAGCACTTTTAAAAACTTAAATTACACAACTTTTTGTTAATCCCTTTTTCATCCGAGCATTTCCTGTTCTAGTCAAAAAGAAGAAAACTGTAACAGATATTGCTGATGTGAAATACCCAAGGATGCTTGAACATGTGCAGAAAAGTAGTTATAAAAAGCCTCCTGTGCTGGAGAAAATGATGTAAGAGGATTACAAATAACCTTATGCTTTCGGGAAACATGTTGTCTTAGCACTTGTGTTATTAAAGCCACAAATAGTGTGTCATGTATAAACAGATGCAGCATTACTTATAGTCTGTCCTTTTTAACTCCAGTCGTGACTGTTCTAAACAAGTCTTGGCTGTTAATGCAGGTTAATTAACACTTCATAATATCGGTTAACCTCTAATTTTATCACTGCACCTTCAACCAAGAAAAGCTGGCTTTGGTGAGCACCTGGCACCGGCTTTATTTTTTCCACTGTGGTGTTTGTCGTAAAGAGGGATAAAGAAAAGGGTAATGTTACTTTTAAAGCTTGATTATAAAATCTGAGATGTATCAAGCACTGGGTAGACGTGATGCACTCCACCAAATAAACCACTGCTGTTGTATTACTTTGTTATTCTAGGACTTGTGCTTAATCAGTAAAACTTTCTGAGCTTGAATAGGAGCCACTCTTTTTTTTTAGCCATAACTCTCTTCAGAGATGAAAATTGAATTAGATCATTAGATTTAATATGCACTGATCAGTGGTTTTAATCTTGTCCTCTTTACATGTGTGTCCAATCTTTTGAAAGCTTTTGGAGAGCTACTTTAAAGCCTCACCTCTGGCAGCACACGTGTCTGCCTGTTTGTGATGCCTGTTCCCTTCTTTTACATGTGATAGCTCGAGGTCCTTGAGCTGTTACAGCTTTTTATTTATTGGCTAATTTGGACACATTTTCCCACAAAGAATACTCTGTATGGCAGGGGACTTTGCGTGCATAATTAGGGGTGTCCCAATGGATCTTTTTAACTTAAGATATGATACCGATATTGTAGGCTTCAGTATTGTCCGATACGGATATTGATCCAGTATTGGCACAAACGTTTGCATGACAAGTTTTGCACTCAGCTGCAACGTCTTTTTGACTTTCATGAAAAATACTGCCACAGGGCTGACATGACCCCTACTCCTTGGTACTTTGGTACACACTGTTGTTGTGATTTTGTGGGCTCTACATGCTGGATCTGGCTGCTGCTAGATAGAGGTGCCAGAGCGGAGTCTAGAATGGACTACTTGTATCGGAGTGCTGATATCGGAGATTTTAGATGCAGGCCGATATAATCCGATATTCAAGTTTTTGCTGATATCGGACCAATATCCGATATCAATATCGTATTGAGGGCACCCCTAGGTGTTTGACTTCAGGGTGAACTTAACAACATTTAAATAGTCAACATTTATATTAAAGGATCAAAGGTTACTGGCCTCATGCCACCGCCAGTCTCTCTCTGGTTTGACATCTAATCTTATTGTCTATGATTGACTGTCTGCGACTAAAGCTCCTGTGTGGATCTTTCGGTTTGTGTAAGTTTTGGCGCCCCCTGTGCCCCAAACAGCCTTTGTTTACCTTTCCTCTACATCCTTAAATATACAAATTCGTCTGACTTTGATTGTCAGATTTGTATCATATATCAGAAAAAAAATGTTCAATGTTAAAAATGTAAAAAATAGACTTTTTGTCAGCAGCTTTGGAAAATTGTCACTTCATGGTCTTGTTTGCTTGTTTATCATGAAAAGGCATCTGTAGGAGTTTCAGTCTATTTCATTAATATAGAGAAACTCCTTATTTTAGCTTTAACTGCAAGGCTGCAACTTTATTCGCTGAGAGTCTTTTCACTGCATATTTGGACAAATTATGTCTTTTCTTTCTTTAACACTGACAGAAATGTGTGCTTGTAGTTAAGTGTTGGACACAAACAGAAGACAGGCCTATCAATAAAAGTGTTCTTCATGTAGTTAAAAGCACCTCATGTTTCACATTGGAAGAAAAACCTGCAGGATAAAATTAGCTTTCCATTAGTCCCAGACACTTATCATTTCAGCCACGCTCTCCTCTTTGAGGAGTCATGCCATGTTGTGTTCAATTTCAGATTCCCAGCAGGGTCTTCTTTAACTCTGAAATTCTTCTGTCATGGTGCACAAAGCTTGGCTCCACATGACTCTGGTCTGCCCTCACCCTCGTGTCCACATCATGATGGTGATTCTTCTGATTGCTAACAGGCCGCTGATAAACGGTCTCATCTGTGGAGATGTAAACACTCTGTGTTGCCCATGCTCTCCTGCTGTTGTTCTCTCTGATGTAAGACCATGTAAGGACAGGGGAACCCGTAGCCTATAAACAGTGCTAATTAACAGACGCTTCAGTTCAGTGCCCACCTGGGGTTGAAGGTCATGCTGAAACAGGTGGAGTAAAGGTGTATTTCCATGAAAAAGTGCAGTATTTATTAAAGACGCTAAGTAAATTACAATTTAAACAGTCTAAAAACCATTGTACTTACACACTAAAAGAGGATATTATTGGTGTCCCAGAATTCTATGATGATTGGTTGTATGTTTGCATGACGGTGTTTCATGCTGTGATTGGCTGTACTGTACATTAGAGTTCTAGGAAGTTGTTTCCGTGGATGTAGTTTCTGCAATCTTAATTGAAAAATAAAACATAGACGGCTTAGAACAGAGTCAGGAGGAGTCCTCAATATGTACAGAGTTTATCACAATCTGGCTTTGTGAATGTGGAATTTTCCTAAAGACATCTTTTGCAGGTCTTTTCGTGGACAGGCACCATCAAATTTGATGAACAGTTGAGAATTTTGGCCCCAGAGTCCAGTATTTCTTGTGTAGTAATTCTGGTAAGATCGGCTTGGGGTCCCGTTTGCTTATGTTTGATACTACATCAGTAAAGTCTCTGACATGCAGCCAGTCCCAAGGTGAAAATATTTTCATGCAACCGTACCCCCAATCATCTTGTAGGACATCACCACTCGACCACCTGAGCACATCTGGTACCTACAGCAGCTCCAACACTGCTGCAGATTGTTCCTCTCTTCCCCCTTATTCTTACCCTCTTTTACTATCTCTATGGGCGGATCAGAGGTGGAACAACATCTCTCCACCATTACTCCTCCGTGGGTCGCACATTGCAGATAAAAAGGGGCATGAATATGGCTTCATGTAAGCTCCTTCAGTATTAAATCAATGCATGGGAACAGTGAGCATGTTTCGATCAGATAGAGTGGTGTTTGCTGGGCCTTTAAGGTCAACCATTGGTGGATAAGTTTATCTTTGATGATGTTTGATTAAGAACTTAAAATTCCACGTTTCCCATATTTGATGCGAGGATGGCGTGATGTCAGACAGGAAAGCTCCCTCGCATATATTCCTGAAAGGCATATCGCTTTCAACCCAAAGCTGTTATGTAACTCTGGGAACTGGAAATCAAAAGGTGTAAATCAAATCAAGTCGTGTAAATTTTTGGAAACTATCCTTTTTCCAGAAACTCCATATTTTCACAACATATGTTCTCCAGTTACGACACATTTAGACCACCGGCGTGTGGAGGGAAATAAATCCTGCAGTATCAGCGCTTACGTTACCAGAGGAGAAGTAAAGATCAAAGATAAAATTAAGAGAAGGTTGTATTTGTACATCTTGTTTTCTGTCACGTGTTGAGGTCGGAGTTTTTGGTGTTCTGCTGCACAGAGCCTCTGCCTGCAGCTCAAACATGTGGAGGTAATTTCAGATAACCGGCAGACCTGTCCATGTGGTGCACTCACAAAGACCACAACCATTTAAAGTTGTTTATCTGATGCGTTTTACTTAACATCCTGCATTGATTACTTTGGTCTAAGTTTATGAGGTTGTCCTTTTAAATCCTCAAGAGATTTTTTCTCTGGACCCTCAAGTGAATCCAAATAGAAAGTGCTCATTAATCTGAGACAAAACAGGCAACATTGAGTCTTCAGTCTTGTTTCCAGCCGATGCTCGAAGTTCATGTTAACTCATTGTTTATGTTTCTACATCAAGTACAATGTGCTAGTTAACGTAAGGACTGATAAGCACTTGTAACTTCATACTTCTTTTATCGGAGCAGCTAATTTTACATTTATCATTTTACAATCATATCTTACTTTACCTTTTGCACAAACTGTTTTATGTTATTGGGATGGATTTATAATGTGTTTACAAAAAGTAGGAAGAAGCGGTGGTCAAAAAACTTTTTTAGTTTTATGAAGGTGCTTTTTCCTCAAGTTTGCGAACACAAAGGGAGTAAAACTTGTTTTTTTGAATTGTGTGGCAGGAGAAAATCTTAAACCCAACATTAAATTCTCTGCAAGCAGATTTTAGCTGGTTGAGAAACAGATTGTGATTCATACTTTGTATTCTTATTGAGCAACAAAAGCAAAACAACCCAGACGTTTGGAGCAGGACATGAAATTAACTTTTATTTGCTCACAACTTTGAAAAAGTGATGAGCTTCAACTTTGGAAGCATCCACAACTATATTAGTATATGCTACGACAATATTAGTGCATGATGGAGCGTTTAATTGCATACAAACACACTGTAACCAAGACGCAAGGGCAGTAAATATCAAGTACATTACTGATTCGATATGACAAATCACACTATGTGCTAGAGAAAGGGAAAGTTTTGCAGATGGACAAAGTAAAGATCAGTGCAGGAGAGATGAAAACATCTGACATGGAGTGGTTTTTCTCTGTACACCTATGAGGTCTTATGAGGTCTAGTGGGGCATGAACTAGACTGCTCTCTGGAGTCTCTGTTAACAGAGACAAATTGTGACAGCTGTCTTGTTTAAATGATCTGTGCACAGGTTGAACCACAGGCATTTGGAGACCATCATGTTACATTTACATTTAAAGCTACTGTTGGCCAGGAAGCCTCACCTGTAGCACATAAAAAAAGACAAACACCATCAGATGGTACAGAAATTCAGCAGAGGCAGCCGTCTCATGACAAGCGTTTTATAGAGAAATTGAAAAAAAGGCACCAAATCAATTATTTGCACTCACACAGGTGCTACAAGCTAGGTTATCAACACAGTGCAGGTAGTGGAGTTATTTTCAGAAACCAGGAGAGGGTATTTCTTGAGAAGATGTTGTTTATACATGACAGGGCGATTCCTACAAAATGATTAAATGTAATACTTTGTCCACAGGGAGCGCCAAAATCAGCGCAAACTCTAAGAACCTTTCCCTTTTGGTTTCCGTGATCTATTTAAAAAGAGATCTTAGGGCAACAGTGCCGAAAAACAACAACTAATAAGTGATATATTGACAGCAACAGTATGAATGAAATAGGACTGTACCACTGAACTATAAACGTGGGTCAGATATTTCAAATTTCTCACAGAAAAATGATTTCAGCTTGCACAAATGAAGCAGCCACAGTTAGAACAGAAACATCCTGCTTGGCTTCGACAAGCGTTGTTTCTGCCAGCAACTCTTGCCTCGAATTTCAAACTGTTGTGTTCCATTATCCTAATCATATTGCTGAATGTAAACATAGCCCTAAACATTTAAAAAAGCCGTCTGTTGCATGCCTTCAGTTTAATGACCTGACAGGGTCAGCATGGCTATTTAGACTAATGCTTGGTGTTTTATTTGGTACATGATGTGTGCTATAAACACAAAGGAACACTATGAATAAATGCCAGCCGAGTATTTTTACAAGTCCCCATATGATGAAAGTCCTACAAGCAATTTCATGGTCTCCACATATAGTCTTTATGAAGCTATCACTGCTGGACAGGGTGAGCCTGTTGTTATTTTTGTGCTTGTTTCCATTACTCTGCTCATTTTTATTTAGTTGGCATGACATTGCATCTAAAGTCAAGAGTTGTTGACTTTATTTTTATGCTGGCAAAAGGCCTCCATGAGAATATACAAATACAGAATCAGAAATATATCTTCACTCTATGTATGAACAGATGATGGTGCATGTTTTGGAATGGATTTGGAAAACTATCACCCCAAATCCTGTGAAAAAAATCAGAAAAGTAATCAAAATGTCGAAAATGTTGATCATGGATCCAGTTTCTCGGCAAATACTCAACTCAGACTTTATTTTCCAGTTATCTTTCAATCATTTCTGAGTCAGATAAGCTTTACTCATCCTGCACTTGTAAAATTCCCTCTTTCAGCTGACTGCTGAACTGTGCAGACAAACACGGGAGACTTTGAGGTCCAGTGTGGGAACCAACACCAGGATTTACATGCAAACAGAAGCAGCAAACACATGCAATACTTGCTTGATTTTATTTGGTCCTGTGCTGAGTCATGCTTTTCAAAATTTCAACATCTGAATGAGCCATGCTTAGTGATGAACTCAAGGTTTTTGGGTGGTCTTTATTGTGAATGAGAGACTCTGAAACCTGCAGCTATTTTCAGGTGCTCTGCTGCACACTTTTTGATTACATCTCTTAAAAATGTCGGACGACTTTGATTTGTACTTACACTTTCATTTTCCCTTAATGGGCTCTATGTACAGCTCCAATACTTCCTGAACTTAAGGCAGCTCCTTCATTTCCTGCCTTTTATTTTTAGACAAACTGATTAATCCAGGTGTAACTGATCACTGTGACTACTCAGGCACACCTGGATTAACCAGTTTGTCCAATAATGTTAGGCAGGAAGTAAAAGAGCTGCCTCACGTTCAGGAAGTAGTGGATTGGTGCATGGAGCCCATTGAAAAAGCTCAGTGTTAAAGTTGTTGATCTCACCTCCTGATATCTGTCATTTTACAGCAGCTGTAGATGAATCATCACCTGACTTTGTCATATGTTACACACCTTTTTATTATGTTTTGAAGCCAAACCATGACTCAGCATAATGATCGAACTAGGTATGACATGAGACCTGTGCACACTAGGTAAGGACACTACTTTCACACAGCTGCTGTGACACACCAGAGCCACTGTCAGGTACAAAATTCTGGCTTTGTTGAGAACCTGTTGTGTGGTTCAGACTTTGGTTGGTATAAAGAAACACATCTTTTTAAGCTGTCGCTGAACAGTTACAAAAAAATCCAGATTATTAGAGTAAATCTGAATAAGCCATCATACTGTAATAGCCAGAGTTGATGAACTTTTTTAATAACAGTGCTAAATAAAATGTCTAAGTGTTGCTAAAAATGCATTTTGAACTAATGAGTAACTTTGTCGCTGTAAGAAAGCAGAGAATTCCAAATCAGTGCCCTGTGTCGTGTCTTTCAGTCGTGTGAGTGTGTGTTGCTCCATGTCGAGTGTTTCTTTTGCACTAGTATGACAGAACCTGAGCCAACACTCATTCATTAAATAAGATGTTTATTTGAAATGGACGGCATTAAGCTGCAGCCGCTCCTCAGCCTTCATGTTCACGTGCCAGCTTACAGACACTTCATTAATTGTCTCACTCGGTTGTCCAAACGAACGCTGGCATCTTTCGTCTCATTCCAAACAGCCACCTACCCTCACTGCCGTGGCTGTGTCACTTTTTCCAGCCTGATTGTTTCATTAGGCCAAGTCATTTTCCAGCTGGGGTTTGGTGTAAGTGATTTTGTTTATATTTTTGCAGCGTCAGTAGAAATCAGTGCAAACTATAATGTGGAAACCCGCTGAGCTCCAGCTGGAGAGAATGCAAAATGTATTTGTTCATCTTAACTGTCTCTTCAGTCTGCAAGGTGTCATTTATGCGCTCATACTTACCTAAAAGCAGCACCTCTTATACAGTATATGAGCTGATTTTGCTCTGCAGTCTGCAAAATGATAGATCTTTATAAATGTGCAAGGGGAATATATTTAAGAGCATAGATATAATTTGTCACTATTATGCTTGTTTGCTTATGCAGTGCATATGAAGGCATCAATATTAATTTCAGTCTGCGATCATTCCCACCTGAAAACCTCACAGGAGCTGGATCTGAAATCTGAGTGTGTTTTTCTCGGCGTGTACACAGCTGCAGCTCATTAATCATCATAATCGTCTGTAATTAGTTTATGTATCATTACTGGTGTTTCAACAGGCAGAAAAACCTTTAAGAACTTTAATTTTTCTCAGTGGAGATTTTCTTTAGTCCGTGTCACTAGAGTGAAGCCATAAATTTAAGGACTCAACCTCAGCTGAGAGAGTATTTATCAAATCAGGCGCCTGTCAACACACATAGCTGCTGATGTTTAACAGTTTTCAGATGAAGATAAAATCTCAAGAGGTCAAAAACGGCACCATCTGACATCCATATTTGAAAAATTCTCTTTTGGTTTCAGTGCGTACCTCCCACAGATTTTAAACCTCTGAGCGCTGATGCAGGTTTAGAGAACTGGAGTCCAGTTTATGAGCTGGGCACTTTTCTGTCTCTTTTTAACTTTCTGAAATGAACAGACAGGACTTTGGACAGTCCAAAATAAGGGCTGGTAAAATTTCAAGTAGGAAACCTGAACAGCAGATTCCATGCTGGTCACAGAGTTTAAATAGTTGTTTAAATTCCTGACTCTAGTGGTTCACTGATGTCCCCCCTTTTCAACAGTCAACGTTAAATTAGAGAAGCTGAAACTGGTAAAAGAAGAAATGAATCACTTTTCAGAGCAGCTCAGGTCTTGATAAATAAAATGTCCTTTTTATACTCCACTAGGGTGTCTTTTCCCATCTCAGCTGGTGGCTTTATTTCCCTCCAGCAATGTGGCTTACAGGCTTTAATCACCTCACACCACTTGAAGTCAGCTTTCATCAGAGAGACAAATATCCTTTATTTTGTGAATTTCTCAAACTTTGTTGATTTCTGTTTTGCAGAGATCAAACCTAGCGTCATAGCTTTTTATTACTTGTGATGGTTTTATCACATTGGTTCCCACCAGAGCTCTGTTCTCTTACAAACCATTAACCCAGTGGTGATTTATTGCAGCTGACAAGTTTCTTCTCTTGTTTGTAAATACGTCTGAATCCTCGGTTGATTATTTCCAGGATTTGGTTCTTTTTTTCTTTTTATTACTCATCTTATTCAAACCCATTTTAAAATCTCATCTCAAATTCATCCTGTTCATTTCCCATCCCTAAAAAGTTCAGGATGTTACCTACCAGCCAGTGAGCCGTCGCATTACCGCTCCTGTTTTCCGTCTCCATTTGTACAACTTGAGGGATCTAAAATACCCTCTTTATTGAGGATTTGGCTTCTCCTTTGCTGTTATGAAATCCTTAAGGAAAAAAGCATGTAACATTGCGGATGGCACATTATGTCTATCCATAGCTTATGCCACTGCAGCTCGGCAATGTGGTTACAGTCCAGAACCAGCTAATGAAATAACTTCATTAGAGGCCACATGAAGTGAGCAAAAGAAGCAGAACATTAGGCCCAGAGGAAGGTCCCTGCTTCTCTTTAGCAGACCTCTAAGGTTTCTAACTATGTTGCATAACAGCATCTGCATGGTGTTTAAGATTTCAGGGTGTCTAATCTTTGGGAAACTCTTACAGAACCTGAGTTAATCTTCCTTAAGGCCTTGAGTGATCCTGGATCCTAGCATCATGCACATACACATTGAAATGACTTGTATCTCATGCAGTTTTATAGGCCTGACCTGCAAGGTGCTTAAATGCTCGAGCTGCATTGGGATGTTGTTTTTAGCTTTCACTTTGGGCTTTAAATAAAACCCACTCCTCTGGTCTGGATGGCAACTGGCTGTGTTTCCACCCCTCAGATGGTAAATCTTGGTGTCAGAAAGGTCGGGTCAGTAGACGGGGTCAACGTCTCCGGGCGACGCTCAGCCTGTTGAATTTACTCATCACATGACCTTAAATCCAGCCGTTATGTGGGGGGGACTGGAGGGAACTGCGCTCAGTTAGAAATCAGTGGTTCCAGGCTGATACAAATCTGTGTGGGAATGCAATCAGGCGTGGGGACATTTAATGGGTACACTGACTGTCTGAGAGCAGGATCGTTCAGTTCTGATCAGGTCAGGCATGATGACAAGATCGCCGCACATTTATCTTGCTGATTTCGAGCAAGGATGACAACCAACTGTTCCTTTGGTGAATGTTCCTGTTGGCCAAGTGCTGCATAATTCAAATTGAACAAAAGACTTCCTAGTCGACAATCAGGTTGTATTTTTTGGCCACTTTTCTTAAGAAGAAAAGATCATCTACAACTCCTTTTCTATAAGAGTTGCGATGCCTTGTAAGGCCTATATTTAATAAAAAATAGTGCAAAGTAAACATATCAAATGTTACACAAATGAAAAATATGTGTGTCGTATATATTCTTTGCAACATGTTTTAAAACAGTTTTTACTGTTTTGTTGATCACAGAGAAAAAACACAAACTTTCAAGGCCAGGACCAATTTCAGACTGTTCCCAAACTCTGCCAACTTGAAACCACTCTCCTGTTTTTGCACATTTCAGATGGCTGGATGTAAGCGTAGCCAACCTGACCTGCTCCACATACTGGGTTGTGTACCTGCAAGTCATCCAGGAGGCGGTGTGGCCCGGAGGAACCCTCCCTAACGAGCCTCACCCTGAACGCAGCCAGCAGGAGAAGGATGACACAAGGCAGCAAGCTTTACAGTGTCTGATGAGACTCCTACCAGGTACAGAAGGAAAACATCAGTCTCTGACAAACCAATCTGCTGCCAGGTTTTATGGTTTTGTTGTAAATTAGCCCTCAAATTTTATTATCAAGGTACAGTGCTTACTCTGTTTTATAATAATGGGAGAAAGTTACACTCTTTAACCCACTGTTGTATAACTTTAATTTTCTTTGTCTTTCTAGATCTTGTCTCAGATATGTTGGGCTCAGACAAATACAAACTCAGCTGGCAGACTGCGCTGGACTCCCTTCAAGACCCTCACATAAACAGGTGAATGCTCTCAGTGCTCTTCATGGTAGATTTGGATTTGTGACTGTCTTTGACTCTTAACCCGCTCCAATCAGAAATAAAGCAAAGTCCCCAAACTAGTTCAGGCAGTCAACTAAAGCTGCAGTGATCCCACACATGACAAGTGTCACATGACAAACACACTTTCAGTCTGATGCTCTATCCAAGGAATATTCCGGGGTAAAATTAAGTTAGGGTCAAACACATCGTAATACTGATTGAGACACCCCCTTGAGAGATGAATGTTGCCGATCGCTTGCTTCTCTAGTTATACCAACTTTAGTAACGACTGCAGATAGCAATACACAGCGGTCTGAGGAGCCACGTGCTCAACCTCAACGCCACTCTATAGCCACAAATAATGCTCAGAACAGCACTTAACTTCATCAACAGTACATATAGGGTCCTAGCCACAGCACTAGCTACCAAACATCTTTTTAACTTTGCCTAATTTCTTTAGCAAAGAGACTAAACACAATACTCTCTTCCAGTAGCCGCTTGTTTGTACGGCGAGGTGAGTAAGGTGAGTCCATTGACTGCAGTGGAGTGACGCAGCTCAAGGAAGAACATTTATGATCATTTCTTCATGGAAATGCAATCAGACCGAGACGCTAAGGCAGAAGAACTACTGTGTGTGTGGTGCAAAATGGTTACTATGGTGATTATTAGGAATTATTATTATTAGGAAATAATAAAGTAATGATCATAAATGTTCTTCCTTGAGCTGCGTCACCCCGCAGCAGTCCATAATGGACTGGCCCGAGGTCGGGCTACAGACAAGCGGCTGCTGAAGGAGAGTGGGTGAGTTGTGTTTAGTCTCTTTGTTAAAAAAATTAGGCAAAGCTTAAAAGATGTTTGGTGGCTACTGCTGTGGCTGGGACCCTATATGTATGTTGATGAAGTTAGGTGTTTTGGTTGAGGTTTGTTTATGGCTCCTCTGTGTATTGCTATCATGTGGTCATTACTAAAGTTGGTATAACTAGAGAAGTAAGCAGTCTGCAACATCATCTCTGTCTAACTCGGTGTTACGGTGTGTTTGACCCTAAATTAATTTTATGCCAGAGTATCCCTTCAAGGCTGCAAGATTTCCTTTCTCTGTCTCTGCTGCCTTGCTCAAGTGCTGTCCTCACATTTTCACCCCAGCATCCATCTGCAGGCCTCGACTTGAAGGTGTAAGATTTTGTCTCATAACTCTTTGATTTCTGCGTGTGAAAGTAAAACAAAACCAATGTGAAAAGTGGCGTATAATTTCCTGGCCCTGTTTGGTTAGCATGCGACATTTATGAATTAGTCCCAAGGTAATCTAAAACTTCTCTGGTCTTCAGGTTTGGGGATTTTCTGTCGTCAATGTTTTCGTTCTCTCAGAACTTGCTTTCAGAAGTCAAACCTGCCAGGAATTTAGTCACAACTGAATTCAAAGATGGATTCCTGCTGCTTTTTGATATTTGTAACCACCCTCCTCTGGCCTATATTCTCCTCTCGAATGCCTTTGACTGCATGTGTTTTTGCTCATCACCTCCTTCTCAGAAAATGCTCCTACAATGTAGGTCAAAAACCAGGAGGAATGTGTTTCTGTTGGACAAAGCACCTCTAGCACAATGATGTCACCACACCAAAGCTCACTGGTCATGTCGGCTCTGAAAGTTAAATATTACCTGATGGTCCTGTCAAGTCTGCCTGGATGTTTTATCTGTCCAGGTCCACATGCTGAGCTGTCTTTTTTTAAACCAGCAGGTGTATCGAATCAAACGGTCAGGGTTTGTTCGTGCTCAGATGCACTCAGGCATGAAAAGCGGCTCACCTGGATTCATACAGTGTGGGCTAATTTCTTTACCAAACAAGGTCAAAGTAAACAACATCCTGAAGGTTCACAGATGCAGAAAAGAACTCTCATTGGAAGAAGTCTGCTTCTCGCAATGTAGAGTTCAGACGTCAGAAACAGAGTTACAGACAGAAATGAGGAAAACTTGACACGGAAAATTCAAAAAACTTGACTTGAGTTAAGACATTTATTTTTTTTTTTGTACTTGGAGGGAGAGTTTAAAATTTTCAATTTCCTCCACACCATTCACCGCTTTGGTCTCTTTTTTTACACACCCTTTTGGTCTATATGACTGAAAGGTACATAATGCAGTGTTTTTCTTTAGTTCTCTTAACTAATTTTAGATTCCTATTTTAGTATTATTTTATGTGACTGTGATCACATATACGGCTCCTAAAATTGGCACTGTGTTGTAGAGCTGAACGACTATTATTCAGCTATTGCAGTGCCTGTGGAGTAGTCACATCAGGACATGCAGTGTCAGTCATATGACCTGAAATACATCATGCTAAAAACACGTCCTTGTATTCATGATTGATCTTAAAAAAGTCAGTTTTCAATCATTTTTCTACAACTTTTCTCTCTTTTTTCGCTCAAATATGGACTGTTCACCAGACTTTGTAGAGTCTGCTTTCAGCTTCCACACCTGCAGCAGGTGTCCAGTGTAGTCTTTTAAAAATCATCTGCAGAAGAAGAAGAAGAAGGAGCAGATTATTGTCACGCCTCTAAGTTATTATCACAGCATCACTAGTTTTTTTTAGCCCCACTGTTAGCAGTTCTGCTCCCCTGGCTCATGAAACCATCTTTGTTTTTGAAGCCCTGCAGTGTGCACACTCTCTTTTTCTGTTTCTTCATATCTGTGACACTTCTACTTGACCCAGCACCTGTCCTCTTTGGCTTTAGAAGTGCATACTCCTTAAAATTTTATCACCTTCTTAAAAAAAACCCTCAAAACTAAGCAAGTCATTTGATATACTTCTATTTTTTAAAAATCTCATTAAACTTGTTTTAAGCTACATTCACCTTCCAAATGCAGATACAGGTTTTATTCTAAAGCATCAACAGTAAGAAATAAATCTCTTTGCTGGTTCCAGTGGAGTGGAAAATTTGACCTTTTTAAGTTTCTTTTCACAAGAACAATGTCCTAATTTTAGGTTAGTTTTGCTCACCCAACATGCAGGTTTTTCATCAGCAACAACACTGTAAAAACTGAAATCCTAGCAGGCATTTTTACCTTATTGAAAATATCTTATTGGCTTTAATTTGAGCCACACTCACCTGACAAGTCCAGAAAAACGTCTCATTTTGAGATATTACTCACCAAAGTGAAGACCTGAATAATGAGAAAGAAAAAGCTGCCAAAGGAATAAATGAAAAATTACTTTTCAAGTTCTTGAAATGAGACAAATTTATTTCACGACTTTGACAAGTATGACTTATTCCTTTGGCAGATTCTCATTGTGAGTAATTCAGTGGCTTAAATCAGAGTTTTTGTAGGGTGTTTTTTTTTTTTTTTGTGGGTGATCTCCTCATCTAGTCTAATGAGCATAAAATACTGATGAAGCTGCTGACTGCTGGTTCTGTGCTCTGACAGACACCTGGTCTACTGCATATTTGATCTCTTACTGGAGTTCCTGGTTCCTGAAATACCTGAGGAGGACTTCCAGAGAAGCCTTTTACAGACCCTTTCCAAGAACCCTGAGAAGTTGCTGGCATGAAGGGGACACCCTGTCATCTGGGAAATCCTGCGAATCCAGCTTACTTCATCCTTACTGATCATTCCCACCGAAGGTTTAACGGTAAAAAGAAGGAGGCTGTTGTAATGTGTCGTGAGAGTGTAAGTGAATGTTTGATGTTAGACTCTGTTTTCACTTTGACTCTGTTGTTCAAAGAGTTTATCTGGATAGTAACAATCCGGTTTAGGGGATTGACTGTTTTTGCTCTCCAAAATCTGGTAACCTGGTGCACTTTGACCCTGAATTGGATTTGAGTCATGCAAAATAATCACCAAATACAGATAACTACTGCTCTGAACTGGATTTATTTCCCATGGTATACTTTGTCCACAGGGAGCGCCAAAGTCAAACAAACCAAAAGAAATTAACCAAAACGTGCTTCATAAAAATGTTTGCATTTGACGGTAAATTCATTTGTTTCATCTCTAATGGCGAAAACTTATTTATCTTTACATTTCTCATTCCTATTTTATCAACAATGTCACCATGGCGATCCAGCACTTTGAGAGATTATTTGAATCAGTACAAAATGATCATAAAAATGTTGTTTTGTTTGACCTACTAGAAAAAGTTCTTGCGCTTAGTTCTGCAGCCCAGCATGAATTCACCCCTCTGCTGAGAACAGGTTAAACCCCGTTTTTACACCAAAGATGTCCCCAATCAACTCCGAAGGTTTGAACCCAATTTAGAGGTTATATCCTGATTGAACAAGGATGGATCGCCTGATCTTATCCAATTTTTTTTGTAATTTGATCCAATTCAAAAGCCTTAATCTGATGAGATTATTACCCCCCTGTCTTTTGTTGCTGTACTGAAACTCAAAGCTCTTGAACATGGTGTCCTGTAAGCACAAACACTCTAACACAGCCTACATTGGAAGCAGCTTTGATTACACGAAAGCACCTGGTTCGTGTTATATCTCGTCTGACGTGCTCTTCGCAACCAAACATGTGGCAAATCCTCGCCTGATCTCCACTTCCAGCTTCTTCCTGCCTCCTAAACTCCCCGGCTCCCACTAAACTCACTTCAGATGGTCCTCACACTCTGTCCTCAATCCACACCTGTTGCTTTACTCTGGAGAAGCAGCGTTTCCCCTTAACTTAAATCTCAGAATGCGCTCTTGGGGTTTAGCATCACTGTTTCTGCTCTCTGCTGAGCCGTCCCTCTGTATCCCACAGGCCTTAGTATAGAACCACACATGTGAGTCTAGCACAATGTGAGCCATACTTCCTAAACCTGAGCTGTCCAGAGGGACGGCTCTTATGTCTCTGGTAGTGATTTTAACCTACAGATCCAAACACAGGAAAGTACATCCTGTAGTGTACTGTGGTGAAGAGCTGTCCATGAGACATTTTACTGGCTTCTCAGAAACGTCACAGTTTCTTTAACAGGTCCCTCTGGGAATTATCTGTGTAGTTAATGTCTATATTTTATAGGAAGTTGGCTCCACAAAAGCAGCTATATGAAGAATGAAGGAAGGTTTTGGCTTTGGTCCATCCTGGGAGAGGTTTTGTTGGTCTCTGTAAAACAGTTTCTGGAGTCTCAGTGTCTTTAAGATCAATTATCTGTGATAGGCGAAGTAGCAGAGTTAAATCTTGGGATATTGCAGAGAAGCATTTCTCCTCATTTATTTTAAAGATAATAACCTACAGCTCGGTTTGCACAGGCTGTCAGTGTGCAGGAAATCTGCCGAGTTAAGCCGGCACGAGAAGAAGTATAACATTGAAGATATGAAGTGCTACGAATGTGCGGATGTTAAAGGGAGCATATAAGCCATAACTCGCAGTTCCTGTGTGTTTTTGTTGTCAGGCATATCCTGCACAGTATGTTTGTACCATGTTGTTACTCTCTGCCCTCGATTAGTTCAAGCAGAAGTCTTATTCTTGTTTTCACTCAGCTGCTAGCTCATCTCCCAGTCCCCATCAGGTGTGTAAGTGTCTCACGATATTCATTTTTATTATTCTTGGTTTGGACAGCGCAGCTCCAGCAGTATTCAGTAAAAGATCGAACCAGTCGTGTCACTGTTACTGTCAACTTCTCATTAACATCTCGTTTAACTCACCTCAGACCTCTGCTGCCCTGCTTTCAGTGAGGTGTGTCATCCCTGTGTTGCCTCATTCCCTTTGAACACAATGTTAAAGATATTTCTGCACTTTGAAAATCTACCTTAGTGTCTTTTGCCTTCGTCCTGGGAACATAAAAATCAGAGATTATAATCAGAGAGTTTAATAGAAGCAGTGAAATACCACTGTCCTTAATCTTAATATAATATAATATGAACATTTATCTATCAAAGCTACCAGTCACCTGAATGTCTCAGAATAATGTTTGGCTCATCTTCAGTTGCACTAGAGGAAAAATCATGATGTCGTCTTGACTAAATTAGAGTTTCTCAATTGTTTTTGTGAGATTTTAAGGCTCAAAAATGTCACAAATCCAGTTTTAAAAGGTCATAATTTCAACTGAACTACTACCTATTTTCAGAGTTAATCTCTTGCACTAAGAAAGCAACTTCAAAAGAACCGTGGAGACCAAAACATGCAGTATTCTCCCATTTTACATACTTAGAAAATCAAATATGTCGCCAAATAAAGTTGATTTTGCATTTTCTTTTGTGTTTCTGAGAAATGTTAAATTCAGATATGAAGTAAAGAATGAAGTCCTGTCTTAATATTCATGTCATTCCAGTGTTTTGGTATAATTGTTGTCTTAAAACGGCCCAGACTCCTTGTGATTCAACCTATTTATTGATCTATTTATTTGATTAATTCCCTTGAAGACGGCTTTGAGTGAGCGAGGAGTTTACAGAGAGGCCTGTCCTCTGTCAAATGAAGTGCTTGAATCATGATTTTGTCTTAACGGTGATTTGATGAAGTTTGTTCTGCAGCCTTTCCACTCATCTCCAGCTCTCTGTGTCAGACTGAGCTTTAATGGTTAAAGTATTTGTTGTGAAGAAGTTGTAAGGTTTATATTTGATTGTTTGCTGTCTGTTAGTGCCACTGTTACACCAAATATTAGCACTTAATATCATTAGAAACAGATCTTGTCCATGTTATGGTGTGTTTGTCACCTCATTAAGGTACTTCTTTATTATTTATGACTTAAAACTTTCTGGTTGTTACACAAACTCACTTCATTTCATTAACACATGATGTATCCTACCATCCATACAGGTTTAAAGGCCGACTTTGAGCCCACAAGTACCAGCCAATCACAGGGCAACAGAGGGTTAAATACTTATCGTCTGTATAATAGGATGAATCCCCACAGCACTTAGTTGATCAATCTGGTATCACTTTAAAACTCATGCATTTATGTAAACTGCTTTTATTCCTACTAATATAATCCTCCAAATATTTGTGTTCCTAAAAACTCCTGAAAACTACAAAACAACTTCAATCATTTTGAAATGAAGGACACATTATCCTGTCAAACTTTTATTCGTATTAATTTCTTCACTAATTTATACAAATAGCTTGAAATACAAACCTGTGTTCCTCATGGCTACTTTTAATTTTAGAGTTGAAGTTCTTTATTGATTCAGAACTATTATAATCCTGGACAGATGTTGTCTAATTACTTAAAGGTCTCAGAGGGAAACAAGCCGTATTTCTGCATAAGTGTGTGATTTAACGGGATCTCTTGAAAACTGACCCACCATCTCTCTATATCACAGCATACAGTATATTGATAAACATGGTCATGGTATTTTTAAACATTTTTGTTCTCATCAAAACCTTCATGCGTCAATAACCAGAAAGTTTGAGCACAAAACGTCTCCATAGACTAGTTAAAGGATCTGGTAAAAGTAAATCATATTTCTTTTCTTTTCTTTTCCTTTCAGATGGAAATGTTTGTAACAGTGGCATCAGTATACAACTGTACATATTTATTTAACATATTTCAATATGTCACGTGGTTCATGTAAATACAGCACTGTGCTTTTTGTCTTATAACTTCTCTAAAGTTGTAATTGTAGCAGCAAATGTTTCCTAGAGAGTAAAAGTAGACACTGAAACCTTATCTCTTGTACAAACGTTCATATATGAAACTGAATCCTGTTTTCTGTCTTCTTTGCACTCTTCTTTTACTTTCCCAGTTTTGTTTCCTCTCAGCTCACGTGTCAGCTGTTTTTCTGGTAAACATGTAAAACTGTGTTGTGCATGTAAGCCTGTGAATCTGTCTTTTACAAACCTTCGCTGGTCGTTCCTGTGCATATTTACACTGAAGAAAACAATAAAGTTACAAAACATGAGTTATTAAATCTCTTACTGTTGTTCACACTCATTATTTTCTCAGCCCGAGGCGGGTGGGATGTTTTACAAGAGGCTGCCGAGCTGCTCGCTTATCTTTTATGAGATTTCACTTTATTTGTAGCCCAGGCCTTCTTTAAGTGTGAGGAGGTTCACAAACCTGCAGTCAGCTCTATGGTGTTTCATTTACACACCAAATATTCTTACTTTTACCCCTCTGGACACAAGTAGTGTAGCATCGTACTTGTTCAGGGCTCCTTTTGCATCAATTACTGCATCAGTACAACATATCATGAAGGCAACCAGTCTGTTAGCCACGTTTACATGGGCAAAATTTCTTAATCTGATTAAAAATTTGAGGGATCGGATAATCTGAATCCAATATTTATATGGGCACAAAATCAAATAATCCAATCATGCACCAAGCTTTTTTCAAATTCGAAGCATTTGGACATGCACAGTGTTGTCTAATTTCACTAAAACAACTGCAGAAGAAGAGTTGTATTTACGCCTGTGCTGTCAACAAACCAACAAACGCGGTAGTGGTTCACTCCATCCGATTCAGGAGTTTTTCCCCTGTTAAATGTTGTCACTTGTCGGCGCCCTTGCATATTTATTTTACTGTTCTGTCAAAGGTTGCACTGTGCGCACAGATGTGACATCATTATGCTGTATGTATGCCTTGTTATGTTACCGCAGGAGCAGACACGGTACCTGTGGTTGTGTTTTATGCCAGAGTGTTAATAATGAAACCTCTTGTACTGGCCTCAATAAATAAACCAAAGGCTAAAGAGTGAAGATCGAGTCAGGTAAGAGAGTCACGATCAGCGTAAGTGTTTACATGGGCGTGTTTTGAAATAACAATCGGCATAAAACCACCCCTCTCGATCGGAATACAATTTCTTTCTGATTGAGCCGAATTGGATCGGAATCTTCCAATCGACATTTTTATTCCAATCGGGCATTTATTCCAATTATTTGTACCCATATAAACATGGCAAGTGTCTCTGCTGTGGTGTTATGATCATACCCCAGAGACCTTTTACGGGGTTCAGGTCAGGCTAGTAGGCTGACCATTCAAGCTTAGTAATACCAAAGCACACCAGTTTCTGGTAGTTTTGGCGCTGTGGGCAGGTTCCAGATCCTGCAGGAAAAGGAAATCTGTTTCTCCATAAGGCCTCTCAGCAGATAGAGGCATGACAAGCTCTAAAATCTCCATGTAGACTTTAGGCTGCATCAACTCTGGACTTGATAAAACACAGAAGACCGACAACAGCAGATGACGTGGCACCCCAAAATCATCACAGACAGCGGAAACTTCACACTGGACTTCAAGCACTTTGGATTCTGTGCCTCTCTGTTCTCCCTCCAGACTTCTTGATTTCCAAATAAGATGCAAATTTGTCTTTTGTCTAAAAACAGAGTTTTGGACCACTGAGCAATAGTCCAGTTCTTTTTTTGTCTTCGACCCAGTGAGACGCTTCTGACATTATCTCTGGTTTAGGAGTGTCTTAACAGAAGGACTTTCACACTTGTAGTCCATTTCCTGGACTTGTCTGTGTGTAGTGGCTCTTGATGCCCTGATTTCAGCCTCGGGATTCTCCCCTAAGTTCTCGAATCTGCTTTGTTTGAATCATCCCTGTGGCTTGGTCCCCTTTTCCTCCCTCACTTTTCCCTTCAGTCAACTTTCCATGAATCTGCTTCCATAAGCGCTCTGAGGACAGCCAGTCTTTCCAGCAATGACCCTCTGTGGCTGACCCTCTTTATGGAGGGGGTCAGTGATCGTCTTCTGGACAACTGTCAAATCAGCAGTCTTCCCCATGATTGAACTGAAGCAGAGTGAGAGAATAAAGACTCAGTAAACCTTTGCACCAGGGACCTTCTTGCGATGAGGCAACAGTGCTAACCACTGCACAGCCTTGCTTTTAATCCTTCATTGTGAATTGGACCTGTATATACAGGCTGATGCAAACACCATCGATCTGGAACTGTCAAAACCGAGAGACTGTGTGTGTCACAGCCCTATAAAAAAAACCTTTTCAGATCAGAAAATCATTAGCTCAATGCTAAGTGTCATCTTGTTTTTATATTTAGTTGGCAGCTTTGTTACAAGCGGAAAAATGTTAGCTAGTGGTCAAAACAGAACAGGGAAAGATACGATTTTATCAAACAGTGTTTAAGATTTTATATTCTCAATACTTATTTCAGCATTTTTTCTTAATATTGATTGTTGAAGCAGTTAATTTGGTTGAAATGAAACTGTAAAATTTTATCTCCCTGAATGACGTGTAATAGTTATTAAATGTCAGCAAGTTCAGAGAACAGAGTACCAAACAGAGCTACAGGGCCAGTAACAGCCGCTGTGCGTGTCTGTGTGAGTTTGTGTGTGTGTGTATGTGTTTTAGGGGTGGGGGGTGGGGGACTCTTGGTTCCTGGCAGTCTATTCAGAGCAGTGTTTATCAGAGCTCTGCGTGTTCTCCAGAATAATCGAGATATCCATTAAGGCAGATGCAAACAGTTGGAAGTCTCGATGATGAACCTCGTTGACGCCACATTGAGTCAATTTTAGGAGCAGAAATCAAAAAGTATGTTGTGTTCTGTCTTCATTTTATTACCCTGCATTTAACTGTGAAGTGAATCATTCAATCAATCCTCTGGAACCTCCAAACTAAGAAACTCTGCAAACTCTACATCTGGACTGGAGACGGATTTGAACTAATCGTGCATGTCTTGATGGGTTGCACTTTGTTAACTTTGCATCTTCATTACCGATAAAAGCTACCAGGTCTGACCCTCCACCCAGATTACCAGACTGACTCACTATGTCACCATAGCAACTGCTCCTACAGGGAAGAGGAGGGGGGAAAGGTGAGCTTTAACCCCCTGCTGCTGCTGGACACATACTCCACTGAATGTCCTGTGTAACTATGGAGAGAAACCATCTCTGTGGAGCTTCCTTTATTACAGATATCCCCTAGAAAGCTGAAAAATAACCTCCTGAATAAAGAAAAGTACATTGTCAGTGATAATGTGCAGACTCCTGCACTAACTGTCGTTATGGGAACACCTGTCAGGTAGGGGGCATGTACAGACAAAGGACTGCACCTGTTGAACTGGCCCTTTAGCGAATAAAAAGAAGTGCGTCACCATCATCACTTTGTCATGAGAGCGGGAGTCCCTGCTGCTCCCTGCACACTCCCTGAAAAGCAGCATACAGACTTTTGGGGTTTTTTTGGGCAGTGAAAGGCAAAAATGCAAGTTTCACATTAGCATCAGTCTGCATCTGATTTACATAGAAACCACATGTCCTCCATCCTCGACAGGTTATGCAATCCGGACACACACAAACACACACATACACACAAATATATTCTCCAGCGCTGTTGACAGTCTTCAGTCTCTGGTCGTTTACTGGAGGCACCGTTCCCTTCCCTGTCTAACTCGTGTTTTCTTTTCTGTCTTACATAATAATATGCAGACACACACACACACACACACAGGCCTGCAGCGCTGAGGACATACATGTAGGAGCCGACTGCCCTTTAAAGGACAAAACCCTAGACAAAACTCCAGAATGAAGTCTTTTTTTTTTCTTACCCTCCAACAGTTTCATGTCTGCTTTTTAAAATCTACCTCATCTTGATCCTATTAGTAGACATTTGGAGTTAGTCAAATAAATAAACACCATAAAACCGTCTTGGGACACTGCAGCCAGAGAGCACTCACAGCCTGACAGTGTGGTCTCCTTTTTAAATCCATCAGACCAAGATAATAAAATCAGTTTGGGGAAATTTCTTCAAATTTGAACCACTTGCGTGAAGACAGAGCTGAAGTTTGTCTGCGCTTTTATTTTCTGAAACGATCAGATTCAGAGGGAAAACTGCATTTAAAGCTGGATAAGACTGATGCTTGTTTAACCCTCTGGTGCAGCTGCAGTTCCTGTGAGACCTGCATATTTAAAATTCAGATATTGTATATTTATTGAGAAATTGCAAAGAAAGAAAAGATGTCTGTGCTGCACTTTAGTGCCCCCTAGTGGCTCATAGGCAAGGTAACTGTGTGGCAACAGATGTAACTCAGATTGCTTCGCACATGCTTGAAAAGACTGAATTGATTTTGAAAACACAACAAGAATTCATTTATTTTCCTTGTCATAAATAAATACATGAATAAATAAGTCATGCTGTCTGAAAATCACCTTTTCACATGTGCAGGAGACTAGAAGCAACATAACTGCACAGCTTCAGACATGCAATAAAAGGAAAATGACAAAAAATATCATAAAAAATATTGATATTGAATATCCATGTTAAGTGTATTTATCCAAGTCACAAAGAGTCAATTATTTAGATGAAAGCTGTTCAAAATTTAAGATAAAGAGATCATCTCACTGTCAATCATACCTGAGTATTTCTGCATTTTCACAACTTTATAAATGTTCAGGGCCCTTTAGAATATTTCTTATTGGTCATTTAATTGTTGACTTTAATGGGTTATCTATTTATTTATTTATTTTTGTATTTCAAAAAAATAATTTTATTATGGCTTGAAGGAAATATTCTCCCGGAGCTGCTCTCAAAAAATGACAATAGTTGCAACAAACAGAAACTAAATCCAGTGCAAACCCAAAACAAGTAAAACAACCATAAATGATAAAAAGAAGCGAAGTGCTGTATGTTGTGTTATTATGTTTGTGATAAAGTGCTTCTGTTTGACTTCTAACCCTCACTGATCTCACATAAAATTTGTCACTCTTTTCAACTATTTTATCACCTGTTTTTGGAGAAGTTCAGGGAGCTTGTAAGAGCTGAAAATTTCTCCCCTGTAGGTGGCGATACAACCAAACTGAGGAAATGAAGTCAGTTTCTACAGAGACCACAGGGAGGCGCTGCATGTTAAACTGACAGAGATCCACCTGTTACCAGAGGGAGAGACAGACAGAGAGGATGATGGTGCGAAGAGGGGCAGCTCAGGTGTCTGTTCAGGCTCAGATAAACCTTTATGATAACAAATGTAGT